CAAATTCCACAAAGCACCAGCTGCTTCCTGCCTGCTTGCGAGTAGATATGAATAAATAAAATGGCATTTCGAAAGATGGGCTTATGAGTCAGAACATAGCTTAATAGATGCAATTACTCTCTGGAACATTTAAGGTGAAATCCCAAGATTCAAAGTAGTAATAAATGTTTAAAAAATATGAGATGTATTGCCATCTACTTAAGTTTTGCTCTAGAAGTGGCTATTATTACTTTAGGTGGTATGAAGTAAAATAGATTACCTTACGCCTTCATTTTGAGAATAAGTAAGTTGTACCAATGCTTCCAACGCACCTGCCTCTTGTCCAATAGCAGCATTATTGCTGTTGCTATTCCCATGAGCAGCCAAATTAGCCAAGGCACAAGCAGCCTAGCCAAGAGGAGAAGAAAGTCCTATTTAGCAAAAAAGTCAAAAACTATTTGCTGGAACATTTATGTGCATATAAATGCATAATTCAACTGATACTGCTCAAGCTCCATGTTGGATAATCATAGGGTAGAAGGAGCTATAGTCTTTAGGAATTCTGCGTGAGAATATTAGATACACATTCCATGGTAAATGCAAATGTACTCTGTAGTTCAGTGTCTTAGTATATCACCCTAGTATGGAAGATATGAATAGTCTTGGTCAATTCTTTCATCGCCTCGTAGTTATCACAGATGTAGAACCATAGTCTTCTCAAAAAGACTTCTAAGATATCTATTCATTATCCTAAACAAATTATACTGATCAATAAGAAAGTAACAAAAAGAAAACCATCATCATCTCCAAAATGATTGTTGTCATTCTCAATGTACAAAAGAAAGTAAAAACCAAGTACCTGCTCTTGCACTCCTTCAAATTTGCAAGTTTGAGCAAGCATCACCAAAGCATGGATACCACCAGCCACAGCCACCTCCAAGCTGCATTTCTCATCAGCTCCCAAATTTGCCAGTGCTCCAGTTGTGCGTTCCTAACATTTGGCAAAGGTTCACAATTTAGCTCCAACAAGATTGCAAATATGAATGGGAAGGAACAGGTAATCCATCAGTGCTGGAAGGCCATTTGAATATAAGGTCAACTAAAGCTTGTATACCACCTGCCTCTGCAATGGCACCCTGAAAAAGAACAGTGTTGAATAAAGATGGAAAATTTGAAGATAACCATCAATAAAATTCTTCAGTTTTCACAACCTGATGCTCATCCCCAACAGAAAGATTCCACAGCCCCCCTGCAGCCTCTTCAGCTACTAATCTGTTCATTGATTTTGCTAAATTGGCAAGAATATTGATTCCTTCACTTTTAGCAATGGCTTTTGCAACGTTTGAATCTATGGACAAGTTTGCTATAGTCTGCATCCCATCAATAAAATGGACTAGTGTCCAGTGTCCAAGCTACTCGTAAAACAAATTCCAAGGTGGATTATTAGAGCATAACTTCTAAAATGGAATTTAAAAAATGTTTAACATCTAAGTTCAGTCGTAGTGACTTAATATTGCCTATATTTCATGAAATTGTAAGAGTTTTTTTAATATTATTATGAATAGGACTGGTATTTAGTATATTCTCAGAAAATGAGGCAATCCGTACTTTAGCTGCTTCAGACTGAAGCCCCTCCAGACAAGATCTTGCAAGGTTCAAAAGCAGCTGTGTTCCATCTCCCCATAAAATTGCCTCAGCTCTCTGGCAATCAACAGTAGCATTTTCATCATCAATGACTACAAAGGTTGCAACAGCAGCTGCTGCTCTTTCTTGAACTTCCTCCTGTGAACTTTGCAATAAACTGAGTAGTACTACTGCCCCTTGTGTGAGCCAGAAATCATCAAACTCCTTCAGGTTATTTTCTGCAATACGCAAAAGTGAATGCGAAAGGACCCATTCAATCCAAACAAAAATCTCATCCAAGTTTTTATCTCTATTCTTTAATCTCCTCCAATACTGAAACACATTAGTAACATTTTTGGAATTGTCGGCAAATTATGATGCCACTCCCTTGAACATGTCACTCAGAAAAGTAAGCAATATTCCACCTTTTTGATTATGCATTGTGTTACTGTCAAATTCACGCTCAAAAACTGGGCAATTCAAGGCGAACGATACTTTCAAATTTTGGGATCATGACAAAAATCTTGTAACAGCGCTCAGATTTACATCAGTTCTACAAACATCTCAACACACCAAGTAAGGCAATCTACTCCAAACTTGTGCTGCAGATCCCCAATTCAAGTTTCTAGTCCCTGCAACTGATAAAAATTTAATGGACTTCAAGTTTCCAAGAGCCACTTCATCAATGTTGTCTGATTCCACAAACCCAACATCCTTTAACTGCCTACAATGCTTAGCCAAAGCATTTATAGCATCTTCACTAACTTCCCTAACACCTGACACCCAAAACCTCCTCAACCTTGGGCAGCAATATGCAAGTGCTTTGATTGCATCACTGCTGATTCTCTCACAAGCATCTGGGCCAAGATGAACACTCTCAAACATCTCATGTCTTGCTGCTATCACTGAAAGTGCAGCATCACTAATGTCCCGACAGAAATCACCACTAATTTCTCGAAGTGCCCTCGCTTGAAGACTAACTATTGCATCTATTGAGCCTGCTGCATGAAATTTAAGTCTCTGGAGATTCTTGCATCGTGGGGAGAGTGAGACTGCAGCTGCTGTGTCAAATTTGTAAGAACGGAGGTCCAGTGACCCCCGTAAACAGGGGGAAGAACCTAAGAGCCTAAATGTTCGACAAGTTGATGCCAATCTAGCTCGGTCTCGATAGTTTAAATAAGAAAAGAGTTGAATAACTGTATCATCAGGCAAGGTTGTCCAATCAACTCCACAAATAGTAGCTGAATTCAAACATCCACTATCAAGGGTCTCCGAACTAATGCTTCTCCTATCTTTTTTCTGACTATGTGAACATTTCTGCATCACTCTTCGACTCATATCCTATGAGTTCTTGAGCACTGCAAACGAAGAAGTAATATGACAAAATCTCAGTGATCAATCATCAAAACTCCAAATTCTTAAAAAAAAAAAAAAGCTTAAACTTCAATTGAAGAAACCAAATAAAAATTTCAATAAACATTCTTTATTTTTTCAAAAACTACAGACCCAGTAAAGAAGAATCTCAATTTTCAATTTACATATTACAAACAATCCCATTTTCCCAAGAACTATAGACTAAGCAATGAACATAACGATCAATCTTGAATTTCAGTAAACAAACAAATATCCAATCAAACAAGCTTCATTTTTTCCCCAACTCAAAACTAAACCCCATTAATTAAAAAAATCCTCAAATTTAATCAACATTCAATCAAACAAGCTTCGTTTCTTCCATTCCTAGACACCCAGAAAGTCAATTCTAAAAGAAACTCAATAACTCCAGTGAGGAAAAGAAAAAAAATCACAGTTTAAACATAAAGAAGCAATGAATGTACCTTCAAGGAGGCAGAGGATTGGCGCAACGGAAGATACTTTGAAACTGAGGACAAGCTTAATATATATAAAGGGTAAGTAAAGCTCTGTGGCGGTTAAAATGTAAAAGCAGCAGTTAAAGCCAACCGAAAAAAAAAAATCACTTAAAAACAAGCTGTTTCTGACACTGTTAATACTTTTAGCTTTGACGGTTGCAAACCAAGGCAGGATATGTGCTTGGTCTTTTGGACTACGATGTGGGTGTTTTTTTCTTATGTTTCCTTGATTCTCCCTTTTTTAATAGTACTAATAATCATAGTTTTGTGGTGTTTTCACATTTGTATTTTGGAAATATTTTGGAGAGTTTAGTGCCACTGCTAAGTACATTGTGTTGGGTTAAAGAAACGTTCACTTTGTGGGGACTAATCCAGCTTCATGAGGTTGAAAGTTGCTTTAAAAATTCAAGTGGTAATAGATGACAAGATGTTGAAAGTTTCAGACTTTCTCCAGAGATTCAGGAAAGGTTAAAACAGTTTTGCGCACTTTGACATGTGATAATAAAAATGTGCTTCAGCCTGTTACTATGTTACTCAAGTTTAGCCTTACACGACTTACTTATTCCAGAGGAAGTCCATTTCCTTCTCTTTCATTGTTTCATTTTCATGAGAAAAATCCTAACAAAATTTATGGACATCCCAGGTTTAAACTTTACCATAATTGATTTTGTGAGTATGGGTTCAAGAAAAAAACTGTTTGACCCATTCTTTTTTAATTGAAGCAACTTGGGTTGGAAAATTATGCTTCTGGTTATCAACATCATAGTAGCAATTTTTTATCCTCAGGAAATCTACCAAGCACTTCCTTCATTTGAATAAAACTATTGAAATCACTGTTGGGTGTCAATGGAGTTTTCTATGGTGTCTGAGATCCTGCAAACGGTTTATTAATTAAAAACACTTGCCTGCAGTAGCATTATTTGAACATACATTTTCTAGCTTCTTGGACAGTAGTAGGATACTATAGATTCTTGATTCGGTTTGATCCAAAGAGTTGAAGGCAATTGTCTGCAAATCAGCCGCTTCATGCTAGAGTGAAGCTAAAACTGATATTGGAAGTACCCTGAAGTCAAACAAGATGGGACAGATGCAAACAGCCCTATAGATGATCTCAATCTATATTCATATTCATTCTCATTTCCTTCGTCGTTGGCACTGTCAGCCGAAACTTGAAGACACTAGATGATCTCAATCTTCCTGGTAGTTGTTTGTCGATTGGAACAAAGAAGTGATAATATCATGAAGAATTCATAAATCAAACAAACACTAATGGAAGATACTGTAGTCTTAAGGGGTGAACATTTTTTTTTCCGACAATACAAGCTTTTTGACTGTGAAAATGGAAGCCCGGTTCGGATCATTGATAGACCGAACCGGATCTTTGAGATTTTGGGTTTGGGTTTGGATTTTTTGAATTTAGAAACGGCCCAAAATGTAAATAAATTTTGGGTTGAGCCCACTTCTTTATTTTTAAGTCGGTGAAAGAGGCACCTCTTCCCCCATGTAAAAAGACTAAGTTAACCCCACGATATTTTTCAATTTACAAAGGTGGGTTTAAACAAACAAAGGCTAGGGTTTTAGTCTTTTAAGCCACTCCCTGTTCTTTCTTCGTTTTTTGTTACCGTTATAGCGTCAAAGAGAAAAATTGAAGATCGTTTCTCTCTCTCTTCACAATCCTCAAATCTCCTTCCTTAGTTCAAGAAAGAGATGGGGAGTTCAATAGCTTCGCAGTTACAGGCGATTAAATCGTTTATCCAAGCCGACTCCGAACCTCAAAAGCGACCTTTCACTCGCCCTTCCATTCTGTTTAACCCCAAAGAAGCCGCCGACATCGACATCGATACGATTCTAAACATCGCATGGTCAGGTCTGTTCCACTTTTCCAATCCTCAATTTCCAGAGGAAAAATTTCTGTTTGGTTCGTTCCTTTTCTTTTTAAACTGTCGTTTCCTGTTGTTTTTAGGGCTAGAGGTTTTGGGAGGCGTGGACGAAAGATTTAGAGACTACAAAAACTATTTGTTCAGTCACAGGAGTAAAGAATTGGATAGAGAATTAATGGGAGTAGATGATAATAATCAAATTAATGCTTCGGTAAGTTCGTATTTGCGGTTACTCTCGGGGCATCTTCAACTTCCTGCATCTCTTAAAACACTTGAGTACTTGATACGTCGATACAAGTAAGTGATTTAGTTACTTACCTTTTGAGACCTTACCATTGGAATTGTGATAATGTTTATGTGGTTGGGGTTGAATTTTCAGGATTCATGTTTACAATATTGAGGATTTCGTTCTATGTGTGCTGCCATACCATGACACGCATGCTTTTGTTCGTATGGTTCAGTTAATCAACGCAGGGTAAGGAGAGAATGAATGTTTTTTTTGTGTGGTTATTATGTATAGGTGTTTTTATTGTTCTTGATTGGTACAGGAATAGTAAATGGAAATTTTTGGATGGTGTAAAAGTCTCCGGTGCGCCACTTCCTAGGTCTGTCATAGTGCAACAATGCATTCGAGATATGGGGGTTTTGGAGGCCTTGTGCAACTATGTGAGTCATTGCTCTGTAAATTTATGGGTCATTAGGTTGCTTTCTCCCTGTGAGTCTCACATGAATTACTGTCCGCTGCAGGCATCTGCAACAAAGAAGTTTCAGGCTTCAAGACCTGTGATTAGCTTTTGTACGGCCGTTATTATTGAGGTTTTGGGTTGTGTTGCAACTATTGAAAGTGACATTGTGAAGAGAATCCATCCTTTTGTAGCTTCTGGTCTTCATACTGGTACAAAAGGAGGTTCTGATCAAAAGGTGAGTAAGGCATACGTGTGATTATTTGCAAATTTGTTTTTGCTATTGTATTATCTTGTTATATGGATTCTTTCCATTGCATTTAGGTTGCTGATTGCAATGTGGAGTTAGTACAATTATATGCATCTTTTTATGTAGGCTGGTGCTTTGATGATTGTCGGATTACTAGCAAATAAAGCAGCATTGTCTCCCAAACTTATAAATAGTTTGATTCGAACAGTTGCTGATGTTGCTAGGGAAGATGTAAAAGAGTCAACTGATTTGCAATGGTTTCGGTTGTCACTTATGGCAATAATAAATCTTGTTCAGGTAATAGCATATCCTGCACTTGCTGATTATTGTCATTATGCAATTTTATCCTAAAATTCTATCATTTATAGTTTTTTATTTTATCATTCTCTATTAATGTTGTTTGGCATTTTTCGTTAGAAGTTTTCATTCATATCACTTGTGAATTTGATTTCCATAATTTTCTACTTTAGTTACATGCTTGACCACAGAGGCTTGGCTTCGCTCTCATCATTTTGTATGTTTCAACTGTTGATGCATATAATCATCAGGGCTGTGATAGTTAGTGTTCTATGTTCTTAAAATTATATTAGCTCAATCCAAATTCTCATTTGGTGGGCGTTATAGCCATGTTATCTCTTCTAAATTACTAATTCGAGATTGTGCTTAATACTTTTTTATTTCAATTTTACCAAGTGCTTTTCTTTTGATGTATCGGCTCATATGATTAAAGGGTTGCTTTTGACTAGGTGCTTGATTTTGCCTTTCTTAAAAAATGAAGTATAGTTGCCCTTGCAGTAAATGTTAGGTTCTATGTTATAAGCTTTGTCATGTTTCTATTTTTCTTACTTTAGTTTGTATGAAATTTGTAGTCACAGTCTGTTGATACATTCCCAAAGAAGGCATTGGAAATTTTAAGGGATATCGGGTAACTCCTTATTTTTCTAATATTGTTCAGAACTATTTAATGCAATACTACAAGTGTATTGTCAGTGGTTGTATTTTCTAACTGATCTCTTTGCATGCTTTTAAAGGGATATTGCTGGGATTCTTCTGGAACTATCTAAAGATTTTAATATTGATAGATTCCTTGCTATACTGTTGGAAGCACTGGTTGATCAAAGGTGTGAAGCTGCTTAGTTTTTTTCTACTTGTCCTACTTTTTTGGGTACTAACCACTTCTAAACTGGTTCTTGTCTATTGCAGTTCTTCTGATGACTCATATCATGTTGCTTTAATATCAATAATAGATAAAATTCCACTGAGGAATTTAGTGGATCTTATTGTCTCAAAAATTCTACTATCCTGCCTAAAATTATCTGAGAGGGATGGCAATTTGGCATCCTCTGAATCAGGTATGTCTCATAATTTATTGGTTTTTTTTTCTTTCAATTCAAAATTTGCTTCATGGGTGCACATAGTACTATTTATTTACTTTGATATTTTTATTTTTATTACTTTGAACATCATTAGTTTGCTGTATATTGCAGGTTAAAAAAATAAATTTGCGCATCTTTTGAACTAGATAACTGTACAGCTACTTATAGTATAATATCAGTGTTAATTATGTTATATTTCTGAGTTATATTTGAACTATTTGGCAGGAACCTGGGCCAAGAAGGTTTTAGCTGCTATTAATACGAATTATCCATCTCAATTTCAAGGAGCAGTTCTAAAGTTCCTAGAAGTCTGTTTAACTATTACTCTATATCTATCTTTGCTTTTCTGTATTTTTTTCATACTTCTGGTCTTATTTTTTTATCCTTCTTCCTCTTCTACTAGGATACTAAAGTACAATCCAAGAAAGAGCACAAAGTGTGTGAGTTCTTGAGCAAAATATTGGATGGGAATTTGGATTTACCAGTCTTCGCAGAGTCCAAAATATGGTTTTCATCACACCATCCAAAGGTAGTATGCAGTACTAAATTATTAGGAAATCATTGTTTTCTTCGCTTCTTCCTTTTCAATATATGTTCAAGACTTCTTATGCTTTGGTGCTGTGACATAGCCCGAGGTTCGACGTGCTACATTTTCAGGGCTAAACCGATCTGTTATTCTGAAAATTAAGTCCCTTGATGCAAAGGTAATTCATGTGCACTTATAAATGTCTTTGTTTTTATCATTTTTGTAAAATTTTTGGTTTTGTACTTCAAGCCTTTGGATTGATTTAACAATGTTGTATTTCATATTTGAGGATGGCATTTCTTACATTTTTTAAGTTTCTCTGGGGTTGCCTTGGTCTACCTGAATTTCTCTGCCTCTGAGTTTTTTTATACCTTCTTGAAGCAAAGTTCATTTGCCTTTTTTCCTTATTGGCTTTTTCTTCGTTCGATTTCCTCAAATCACAGCTTCTTCTTCTTTTGTGCTTTTTTTAATTAGGATGGCACTTTCCAACTGTTCTTTCCCTTGTATCCGAAATACCCTTCTAATATGACTTTGGTGTTTTATTAGTATTGCGGTCTTATTAGATTGATTGGTTGGAAATTATATTATCTGTGTTTTGCACTTTTTTCGCATGTAAATTACATGCACATAAGAGTATCTCATTTCTTGACTGATATTTTAGATCCTCTCTTCTGTTGTCAGAGGCTTGTAACCATTAAGGATGCTGTATTGCGCCAGCTTCATGATGATGATTTAACTGTTGTTCGTGCTGCTCTTTCTTTGGATGGATTGACTGAAATAATAAGTCCTTTAGATCTTCTTGAAGCATTGCGTGATGTGCTTAAGAGATGTCTAAGCTTAATGACTTCAGGTCAGTATAAATATGAAATCTTTGCTGTCACCACTCTTGCATCTAAACCCTTCAAAACAAACAGAATGGTTTCTATTTTTCTAATTTACATTTATTGCAAAAAATAATGGTTCAAAGGAGGAAAAAGATACCTAGGTGGTTGTTCTGAACAATTATTTATAATCCTTCTGATTTTATGTTGGACTGAATTGCCATCGACTCAATGGTTTTGATGCATTCCATTCTAGAGTTCTTTTGTTTTAGATATGCCAATATTGGTATATGCTAGGTGCACTATGGTTGACCTTAAGCAGATTCTAAGGTGTTCAAAATTGGAGGAAGCTCTTTGAATGGAAGTTCTTGAATAAAATCCTGCAATATAGGTCTCTGAGGTTTATTAATCTTGCTTTTGAATTAAATGAAAAGTTATGTTAAATTATTGCTAGAACAGTTTGCTAATAGTTTTTTTCTATTGGTTGGAAATTGTCACCAAGAGCTTAGCACACCCGGGCTTGCATGGGCTTCATTATCATGCTCTTCATTTTCAGGTTCATCAGTTAATTCTACTTTATCTTGTGACGTTGCTGTTTCATTCCTAAAGATTGCTGTGTCCAGCTTCCATGATCAGCTAGATTATTCGAAAGAAGTTGCTTCTATGATATTCCCGCTACTACTAATTCTGTCAGAGGTGCTTAAATGACTTCATTTCTTAAGTTTTCATCTTTACACCAATTAAGCTATACTTCTGTTTTTTGTTGATGTGTCATTATATTATCTGTATACAGACTCAGAGGTTGAGCTTAAAGGTTTTGGATTTAGCCAAGGAAATAAAGTGGCCACTTTTCCAGACTCTTGCATCTGTGCCTGACAAGGAGGCGGTGAGTCCTTCCTTTTTTAGTTTTTTTCTTCTTCCTTTTAAAAGCTGGTTGATGTTTTGGTATTCAGGCTTCCTGTATTTGCTTTATTGTGGATAATAATAATCATAATAATAATAATAATAATAATAATAATAATAATAATAATAATAATATAAGGTCCATGAATACATGAAATGCTAGGATGAAATGCTTTTAATTCTAAAAATGCATGAAAAACATGGACCTTTTGGCTGTAACAGTATTCTTTGCTCTTTTTTTTTTTTTTTGGTGTGTGTGTCACTGTAATTTGTGAACATCCATGGCGCTGAATTTTCTGTTCTTTACTGAAAAGTGTTGCCGGATGTGAAGATCTAGTTTGATTGTCCTTTGTGGAATGGAGAAGGATGAAAATAAGGAATGAGATGCCAATGAGAGTTACCAAAGATATAGATATAGGAGTCATCTGCAGTGCTGTTGATTCTATGCCTTGATGAGCTGTCTCTTATCTGTCTATTGTTTTCTTCTGGTAGAAAAGATGCATAATTGCAGATGACTTGAGAGGATATTCTAGATAGACTATAAGAGAGAGTCCTTGAGAACATATTGCTTTCCTAGGAAGCAAGAAATTTCATAATATTCTTTGAAGGAGTCTCAATTGATTATTTTATGCGTGTAGATCAACTTTATGAATTATTATTGGGGTTCCTAAATGCAGCTCACTTCTTCCAGAGCTTGGAGTAGTTGAGAAGGATTGTGGATAACAATTCTCTGACTTGGTCTATTGTTTTTTATTTGCATAGCTGGTTGTAATAGAGTCAATCACTCAATCTGTTGGTCAGTCAACGACTTGGCTTTAAACTAATCGCTTTCCTTGCATACGTGATGTGCACATGAATAACTATTATATATATATATATATAAAATAGTTTAAAGTAGCCTTGGTCAATCACTCAATCCCATCGGTCAGTCGACGACTTGGCTTTAAACTAATCTCTTTCCTTGCCTACGTGATGTGCACATGAATAACTATTATATATATATAGAAGTAGTATGCTAAATAGTTCAAGTAGCCATTCCTGTCTCTGCTTCTTAGGACGAAAGCAATCCGATCAATGAATCTTTCTTTGGTATCAGTGCATTAGCGCTTCAGTCTTCTAAACTTACGGGACATCTTCCCCACTCCCTCTTTCTTTAAGTGATTGAGCATTTCTAGTTCAATATGTAGAACATGATTAGTTTTTCCTTCAGGAGTATAAAAGAGTTGCTAAAAGGTTATGATTGTAAGTTTTTTTTTTTCCTTCTATTTTTTTTCTCTTCAAGTTATCTGTCTGGGATTTGTTTTATATAGGGTCATTACATCACTTGTGGCTTAAATGTAAAATTTGAAACTGCAGCAATCTCTCTCTAGTAGATTGTAAAGATCTTCTAATATTATTTGAAGTCAATATACATTTGGCCTTTGGGGATCAATAACTGCTGTCAAAATTTTAGGGGGATTAGTGACATTTAGGTGGAAGCCTAAGGTGGTAAACTATTATTGGCCCTAGTCTTGTTCTTGCCTTCAAATTTTATCTATTTATTATAGTTGTTTACTGATTAATTTTATGTTATATAAATAATTAATAACGTTGTAATTGTAAAAGTTGCAGAAATTGCTTTCTGGATCTTCAGTTGGTGAGGAGGCTGTTAGCAGATTTGAAAAGAAAATGCAGAAGCGTGGAAATACATCTACGGTTAATGTAGAAATTGTTAGAAGTTTATCAGAAGAATTCTTGAGGCACCCTAATGAGTACATGCCTTGGCTCACCGAAAGTTGCAGTGATTTGAAGTCATCAAAGACTCTTTTCTTTTTGGTTCTGATGCAGTCATTTTCAATGTCCAAAAATAGTATGCTTCTTAACTGTTTTATAAAATGCAGTCCTGTGGTTTTCTGCTGTTTTGGATAATTTAATATGCTAATTTTTCCTTTCCATGTTGCCTTCTATTTTTATGCAATACCAAGCCTTGGATTAGAATTTCTTGCTAAGGAATTATTTTTAATTAGACTGTTAGAGGACCATGCCGATTGTTCTCTGATTTGCATGGTGTCAATCAACAGGTTAGCTGAGCCCTTCAGACTGAAGCAAAATATATTGTTTAGCTGGGTTTTTTTATTTTCTTTTTCTTTTGATACTGCTTCTATGTGCTATGGAATATTTGTTATCTTTTTGTGGGTGATTTAATGTTAAATTTATTTGTTGGTGAAGAAATGTTGTTTATCTATCTTGTTGAACTATTTGCTTCGGATCTCGTCAGAATTTCCCTGATGTTTTCTTGTGCCTTGCTATATTGGTTTTTGCACCTATAAGAGTTTGTTCTGTATGTTTTCATCTATTAGATGGCAAATTTTTGGTGCTTTTCGAAGCTTGCTTTCCAGTTCTGAAGTCTGAGTGGGAAGCTTTTGGCTCTGTAATTGATGTTTCCGTACAAGAGGTTAAAAACAATTTAGCTGTTATTGTTTCGTTATAAATTGCTAATATTTTCTTGTCCAAATTATTCAATATTGTCATCTTCTGTACTGACAGTTCAATGAAGAGATGCTTGATTGGGATTGCAGAAAGTTCCTAGATCAGCTGTTTGTTGCTGATATTTATTCACTGAATGCATGTATCCTTATATGCATATTTTGGAGGTTACTTGAGGCATTTATTTCAACATCCTCTACTGAAGTCTTTTTGGTCAGTGATGCTATTTCTTTTTCTTGCTTTCTATTGCTGCTTTGCTGGTCAAGTTGCATGATCTTTACCATTTTTTTGTCTCTTTTAGGATGATAGTGAGGTAATTAACAGAGTTCAGGATTTCTTCATCTTTGTTGCGGTTTCTAGTTTGAAGAATGCATTCAAGAAACACCTTAAAGAACTTGTTGAGAAACATCTTCCTGACTTTCTTACAAAGTACAAGATTTCACCAGTTCGATTTCTGTCTAGCTTTTTTACAGATGAGGGTACTTTTCTGGCTTCTCCTTTTTCTATTTCTCCTATTTTATTTACTTTTTCTTCCTTAATTTTAAAGGCTGACTTATGCATTATACCTGCCTTAGTTGGGATGTTGATGAGTGGGATTGCATCAAAATGAATATGTTTTGATTTTCTTTCAGAGCCTAGGTTTCATACTGGAAATCAAGGAATCTGGCTTGGTTGCTAAATGCAGCCCACGTATTGGGGAAGTGGGAATTGCAAGTGCTGGGATTAGAACCCCAGCCTTGTAGGGATCCACCACCTAAGAGAGGTGGGTGAACCATCCATGGCAAGCCCCAGATTCAAATGCAGCCTCCCTTGATGTTAAGTCTCAAAAAGCAATAAGTTAATTTTATTGATAATCTAGAGATGAGAGGTTTCTTTACAATGTTGTTACAGTCAATACTTTAAAAGCTACATTCCTTAAACTGTCATGATAATTAAGTTCTTAACTGTTAAATTCAGCAAATTCTAACAGTCCAAAGTAACAATCTAAAATGAATCTAAAGAGACATAAACCTCTGATTAATCTGCCAGTTTTGAGAGGCTGCTTATCTATGAATTGAACCTTAATGATTGATATACTGATGAACTGTCATTGTTCGGCCGAAGGATCAATTAGCAGTTGCTCATTCTTATGCCAGACATTTGATTTTGCAGATGTTCCTGTTGCAGTTCAAGTGGAGAGTCTTCATTGTTTCTCATTTCTTTGTTCTCAGCAAGATGATAGACTACCATTTGAACTATTGGCTGAATTTCCCTCACTTCTTGTTCCAATCGCTAGTGAGAATCAGGTTTCACCATTTTTCACTTTCTTAAATGTTGTTTTAGCATTTATTTTTTAATTTGTTTTGGGCGTTCATGATTGTCTTCTTTTTGAGCTCTTTATTTATGTGTATAAAGATTTGAATTCTGTTTTCAGGCTACTAGGATTGCTGCCATGGACTGTATTGAAAAGCTACATAAATTATGGTGTCAAGTTGATTTTTCTAGCAAGAAAAATGGTATGATGTATGATATTTTTGTTTCATATATGGTTATGTTTATTTGCATTTGTGTATTACTATAAATGGAGTTGGCTTATTAACAGGAAACACTGCAATTTGGAGCCATTTTCTTGATGAACTGTTGGGATTGATGGTTCAACAAAAGAGGCTTATATTGTCAGACAAAAATTTCCTCCCTTCTTTTTTGACATGTTTGCTTAGCTCATCCTGTGATAGCATTTTAGTGTCTCCGAACATTGAGCAGAGGTATTGACATGTTTTGTTTCTCTTCTAATAATTTATCATTGCTGTCCCATTGGTGACTGTTCTTTCTAATCACTTAAAAATAGCTGTTTTTTTTTTTTTTTTTTTGCTAAAAATGATATTCCTTCAGTTTTTTGTTCAATGGAATAACCTGTTTGCCATTGTAAGTATACTTTGCAGTTGCCAGATTTTGCTCCTTGCTTTATATGAATTCTGTTATAATAATATCAATATATGAAATTGATTATTCTGTTGTCTTTAGCTAAAGTGGTTTCTGCTGGCCTCATATATTTTTCTTAATCTGTGTTAGGGGTGTAATATTCTTAAGAGATGATCATTTCCTTTGATATTGGTTTGTGAAATTCTATATTCATGAATGAGGATATAAGCTCTTTTCTCCCTTTAAACATTCAATTCAGATTTGATCAATCCACAAAGGAGAAGATGCTTGCTTTCATATTGAGTTCTGCTCTAAAGCTTTCTGAATCTGGCAAGGTTTGCCCTTTTCTTCTGTTTTTTATTTTCTCTTCCCTTTTAAGCAAATTTATTATCCTGGGGATTCTTGTTATTTTCATGTGCAACCAAGTGATAATGACAGGAAAAAATGTTGGATGGATTGATCTTATTGGCAGCTAAAGGTTCTATCTTTGCTCAAAGGATTAGGCAATGCAATATTTCTTGTTAAAGAGGTTGAGTCGTTGTTATCTCTGCTTCTGGGAAAACACAGTAAATGCTATTTTGACCTGGAAAAGTTATCTGAGAAATTGTCAGAAACTGAAATCAGGATTCTTTGCTTGCTTTTGGAGGTAAGGTTTTATAGTTGCTTTTGTTTTATGTGGTGGTAAAATACGTATGCTTCTCTCTCTCTCTCTCTCTCTCTCTCTCCTCCTTTCTCTTTTATTATTTAATTAATTATGGTTTTTAATAATGCTCATAATTATTTAATGATGATTTTATTCTCTGCTTGTCTTAGATGTGTACTATGCCCTCATCGTCTATTGGTGGACAAATTTCTGAAGATCATGTGTTCAAGGCATTGCAAGTAAGAACCTCCTTGCAACTTGTATCTGTGTACTGGGATTTTGGGTCTTCAATGCTGAACTTTTATGTTTCTGCTTTGGCTTCAGTTGGATTCTAAGTCTCCGGAAGACCCTGCCATTACAGAACCCTGTGTTATGGTTTTGCAAAAGCTAAACAGTGAATTCTACAGTGGCTTGTCAACTGAGTCACAGGTTAAAATTATCAACTTCTAGTATATCTTCTGGAATGCTTTATTTTAAATTTCAATGTTTTACCTAATTAATGGATGGTCGAAATAGATCTTTAAAAGAAAAAACACAACCATCTGTGTTCCTATAAATTACATACCATAGTAACACAAGCCTCATGGATCTTATTATGTGGATCTTATTATGTGTCAAGTGTAAGTGTTTGACTAGATGTTAGATTGACAATCTGAGCTAGGGAAATACCGTGGGTGCTATGCATTCTGATCATTGTTGGATAAAACTAGATTCTTAGTGTGGAAAAACTAAGAAATAAATCAGTGTGGAAACTGAATGTATATTGAAAAACTGCTCATTAAGAATTATACAAGAACTTTAGGTTTATTATATACAACTAACTAGGGGTTAAACTAGGAAACTAAATCTTCCTAAAAAAGTAATCCTATAATTGAGGGATTGTCTATCCTAATTTTTTTTGTTCTTAATTCTAGGGATATAAATACTTAATTCTAGAGATACAAATATAAATATACAGATTACAAGATTACAACCAGCTGTAAATAAGTGTTTTCCCACACTCCCCCTCAAGCTGGTGAATAGGTGTTTTCTATTCCCAGCTTGAAAATAATTTCTTGAAATGTTGCACTGCTGAGACCTTTAGTCAACACATCCGCAAGTTGACCCTTGGTTGATATATAAGGTGTACAAATCAACCCACTGTCTAGTTTCTCCTTTATGAAATGCCGGTCTATTTCAATGTGTTTTGTTCTGTCATGTTGCACAGGATTGTATGCAATGCTTATTGCAGACTTGTTATCACAGTAGAGTCTCATTGGTCCATCCCTTTTGATCTTCAAGTCTTCTAAAATAATCTTTAACCATAGTAGTTCACAAATTCCTTGAGCAGTTGCTCTGAACTCTGCTTCAGCACTTAATCTTGCCGCCACAATTTGTTTTTTACTCCTCCAAGTCACAAGATTACCACGTAAGAAAGTGCAGTAGCGTGAGGTGGATCTTCTATCAGTTATTGAACCTGCATAATCAACATCTGTATATGCTTCTAGAATTAGCTCCGAATTTCTTTTGAATAAGATACCTCTCCCAGGATTAACCTTCAAATAGTGCAATATACGGTAGACAGCCTGCAGGTGTACTTTTTTAGGACTATGCATAAATTGACTTACCACACTCACATCATATGCTATATCAGGTCTAGTATGTGGGAGATAAATGAGTCTTCCCACTAATCTTTGGTACATCTCTCTATTTACAGCAGCATCTTCATTAGTTTCTCCAATTTTATGATTAGGATCTATAGGGGTATTTGTAGGTTTACATGCGAGCTTCCCAGTTTCCTTCCATCACATATTTCTGTTGTGTGATGAAGATACCATCCCGTGAGTGAGCTACTTCAATTTCTAGGAAGTACTTCAATCTCCCTAGCTCTTTAATCTCAAATTCTCTAGCCAAACACTGTTTTAGAGATTCTCTCTCTTTTTCATCATCTCCAGTTACAATTATATCATCCACATACACTAATAGAACTGTGACTCTCCTTGAATCAGAGTGCTTGATAAACAATGTGTGATCTCCTTGACTCTGTTTATATCTCATTGCTAGCATCACTTTGGCAAAGTTCCCGAACCAAGCCCTAGGAGACTGTTTAAGGCCATATAAAGCCTTTTTCAGCCTGCATACTTTGTTTGCTTCTAGATGACCTCTAAATCCTGGTGGAACCTTCATCTATATTTCTTCTTCCAAATCACCATGTAGAAAAGCATTCTTTACATCAAATTGTTAAAGCTGTCAATTGTAATTTGCAGCCAATGATAACAAAATCCTAACTGTATTCATCTTGGCAACCGGAGTAAAGGTTTCTTGATAGTCCATTCCATAGGTTTGAGTGTAGCTCTTAGCCACTAACCTGGCTTTCTACCTTTCAACAGTACCATCTGCCTTGTATTTTACAGTGAAAACCCATTTACATCCCACTGGATTTTTTCCTTTAGGCAACTCTACCAGTTCCCATGTCTGATTTTTCTCTAAGGCCTCCATCTCTATTTTCATGGCTTGCCTCCATTTCTCACTGGATAATGCCTCAGATAATGTAGTTGGAACAGAAATAGTGTTTAGGCTGAAAATTTCTATGGGATGGTGAGAATTTTTCAAATGACACAAAATTAGAGATTGGGTATAGTGAATGCTTAGTACATTCTCTGGTTCCTTTCCTAATGGCAATAGGCAGATCATAATCACTAGTTATAGTTTTAGGAGATTCATGCTCATTTTGAGAAATAGAGTCACCTCATTTCCAGAGTTAGGATCAGGTTCTTGGATTGGCATTGGTTCAGGATCTGAAATTTTTCTTCTTGAGTCCTCTTGTAATTCCTTCATAGAATCAAGAACAATATTATCCTTTGTCACATCTTTTGTATTTGGAATGGGTTTAGACTCAAATTCAGTGTTTGACTTGAGCTCAGCGGAAACACGTTTTGACTCAAAAGAATTAATGGGTGTAAATGTTGAAGAAGGGGACAAATCAAGCAAAAAGAAGTCTTTATCCTTATCTTCCATGAATGAAGTCTCCCCTTGAAGATAAGGTTGAGTAAAAAATGGTTTACTTTTTTTAAAAGTGACATTTGCAGACATATAGAATTTTTTGGTAGGAGGATGATAGCACTTATATCCTTTTTGAGTTGAGGAATACCCCACAAAAATACACTTAATCGCTCTTGGATCCAATTTTCCCCTGTTATGACTGTGAACATGAACAAATGATGTACAACCAAATATCCTAGGTGTGAGATTGTTTGTGGTATTGAGGTTGGGATAAAATTGTGAGAGTAGTTCCATAGGAGTTTTAAATCTCAAAACCCTTGAAGGTAACCTATTTATAATGTGTGTGGCAGTAAGAACAGCTTCCCTCTAATAAGATTTAGGTATATTTGCTTGAAAAAGAAAGGCTCGGGTTGTGGCTAGTAAATGGTTGTTTTTCCTTTCTGCCACTCCATTTTGCTGTGGAGTATTAACACAAGATGACTCATGGATAATCCCCTCTTTTTGGAAATAGGGGGATAGACTCTGGTTGAAGTAGTCTCTTGCATTATCAGACCTAAATCTCTTGATTCTCACTCCAAATTGATTTTGGATCATGTTTTGGAAGCTTAAAAACACACTATTCACATCTGATTTGGATTTAAGTAAAAAAACTAAGAGACGTTGGTACAATCATCTATGAATGAAACAAACCATCTTGCACCAGAAATATTAGGAATTGTAGAGGGACCCCAAATGTCATTATGAATCAAATAAAAGGGAATAGAACTTCTTTTGTTACTAATTGGAAAAGAGACACGTCTATGCTTTGCAAGTTCGCAAACATCACAATGAAAATCTTCGACATTTAATCCTTTGAACAAAGAAGGAAATATGTTTCTCAAAGTTCCAAAAGAAGGATGTCCAAGACGAAAATGATAAAGTTAGATTTTGTCTTTATTGAAAGATTTTTCAGAAAGAAATGACCAAGGTAAACTATTCTTGATATTACTTGTGTAATTTGATGTCTCAAGATAGTATAGTCCATCTTTCTCCTTGGCAAGTCCAATCATTTTTCCCGAACTCTGGTCCTGAAATTCACAATAAGAGGGATAAAATGTCACTTTGCAATTCATATATCTGGTACATTTTTGTATAGATATCAGATTAGTAGACAATCCGGGAACATGAAGAACATTTTTGAGAACAAACGAGGGATTAACTTGAATATCTCCTAATCCTACCACTGTAGTAAGTGAACCATCTGCAACAACAATTTTCTTATTACTAGGACACGGTATATGTACTAAACTTTTGTGAGGAATGTGTCATATGGTCTGTGGCTCTTGAGTCAATGACCTAAGAACTCGTAATAGGCTTAACCGAGATATTTAATCCGTGAGAACTAGAAGCTTTACCTGAATTAGAGACCTTACCCAAATAACATACCACAGTAGGCTTTTCAAGGATTTTCAATAAGTTTCTCAGCTTTTTAATCTCTTCCCTGTCGAACTCTCCTTGTTTCCGAGACATCTGTAGTACTCTAGTGATTTTTTCAGTTGACATTTCCTCAAATTGGGTGGTAGTGATATCTTTCTTTGAAAGGTTTTGGCAATAAAGGCCTAAATAGAATTCGGCAATGAAGGCCTAAAATAGAAGTTAGCAATGAAGTCTGAAAAATTTTGCTTCCCAAGAAGAGCTTAAAGCTCTGATACCATGTGAAAAAACTAAGAAATAAATCAGTGTGGAAATTGAATGTATATTGAAAAACTGCTCATTAAGAATTATACAAGAACCTTAGGTTTATATACAACTAACTAGGGGTTAAACTAGGAAATTAAATCTTCCTAAAAAGATACAAATATAAATATACAGATTACAAGATTACAATCAGCTGTAAATAAGTGTTTTCTCACACTTGGCAGATCCTTTTTGGGAAAATTTTTGCATACAAAAACATTTTCGATCTGTTTGCTGCAGTTAATTTCGGATGATCCAACATGCCGTATGCATGTATTTTGTTTTGGGCCTTTTTCTTTGGTCCGGAAATGATACTTTTCTATACCTGTCCATCCCTTTTATTGTTTTATGAGTTCTTTGTATCTACCTACGGTGGATGGTTGTTGCTGGTCTATCATGTAAAGCAGATGGTCGTCATCTATCTACTTAAATAAGGTGGATCGTTGTTGTCAATCTGTTTACATAATGGTTGAAGGTTACGGTTGTCATTGATAAATTCAATTCAATATGATTCTAAAATGTGAAGTCCATCATGTGTGAATGGTTTTTCATTAATTTTCTTTTTTTTTTTTTCTATTAGGGTCATCTCTTTCGACAGCTAGTATGTTTGTTTCGGAACAGTAATGCTGATATTCAGAGTGCAACCAGAGATGCTTTGCTGCGTTTAAATGTTTGTTTCTCTCTCTCTCTCTCTCACGCGTGCACGCCTCTACAGTTTCACTTTCTTTTCTCTTTTGATGAACCATATTAATTTTGCTTGAATGTTATATATATTCAGTGCAAGCTTATTTGCTTATCTGCTGATCTTATAGTCAACATTTTGTATATCTGAAGGTTAAAAAAGAATAGGAAAACTAGAAGCAAATCTACATGTTTGTTAAAATTATGTATGAAAGAGATTTAATGAACTGTTCTATAGTTCTGTCCTTAGCATGAGGAATTTTGATTATGAGCAATAAGTTCATGTTTTTGCATGGTAACAATGATATAATCAATAATATAGTGTAAAGTTTTCAAAACAAACATGATGAACTATGTATATTTTTAATTGTTTGAGAGGTTTTGGTTAAAATATCATGTAATTTGGAACTTTTATGGCCACCAAGGTAAGTGTGAGATGTGCTATGTTTCTTTCATGTCTTAGCTTCTAAGTTAGACATTAAGTTCCTCTTGGAGTTATTTTTTGTTGTATAAAGACAACTGTAATAATCAACTGCACTCTTTTGGATGCCATAGATTGCTTCATCTACAGTAGGTCAGATGCTTGATCTTGCATTGAAAGAGGATCCACTTGTAAATGGTTCAGCTTATGGAAAGAAGAGAAAGAAATCAGCTGAGAATTTAAAGCCTGATTATCACTATGATGTAGTTTCGAAAGGAGAACAGGCACTTTATTTTCTTTGCTCCCTTCTGGATGTGTTACTTTTGAAGAAAGACATAGCAAACAGGTCTGCATTCATAAGTGATACTTCTCTATTTATTTGCATCAATGTGTTTCTTGTTCTGGATGAATTTCTGTGAAATTTGTTGAATAATTAAAGCTGAAATAATTAAAGCCTTGTCATTTCCAATCAAGTCTAGGTTTCCGTCCACGAAATAACTGTATTTCGTTAAATGGTTTAGGCTGTCTCTTGTGGGTCCCTTATTTAAGCTTCTTGGAAAAGTTTTCTCTGATGAATGGGGACACGGTGCTCTCACTCAAGATGAAAGGTGGATACAAACTTCTGGTACTCCTCAGTCAATGTCTACTGCTATGTGTTATGTTCAACAGACATTATTGTTAATTCTGGAAGATGTTTTTGATTCATTCATGAATTCAAATACTCACCTAAAGGTATGCATCGTGTTGTGGAGTTGAAAATGTTGTATAACATGTCTCTTTATCTGGTGCCTCTTTCTTTGTTTCCTTTTCTTTATTGATTTTATATGACACCTCTATCATGGCAGGATGACATAATAAATAAAATTGATGTCAAATTGTTGGTTGATTGTGCTCGTTTTACCAAGGATGGAGTAACCCGTAACCATGTTTTTAGACTGTTATCTTCGGTGGCAAAGTTAGTTCCAAATAGAATATTGGAGCACATACTGGATATACTTGTTGTCATTGGAGAATCAGCAGTTTCACAGGTTTATTAAACTATCTGTTGGCTTTTATATGTATCAGAATGCACTCAATTAGTCAATTCTCTCTTTGTAAATACAGTATATTTATTAAATTTTTTATGAGAAATCCTGGACAATTTCTTGAAAGCGATTGGTTTTTTTTCTCCTACATCAGTTTAAACTCATCTTGTTTTAGATATGTCTTATTACAAAGTTTAAAAAGCTAGTTTAGCATTCTGAAGTGTTTATTCATTTTTTATTTACTAATTACTCTGATTTTGAACATCACTCTACAGATTGATAGCCATTCGCAACATGTGTTTGAAGATCTTCTATCTGCCATTGTTCCTGGTTGGCTGTCTAAGACCAACAATATTGAAAAATTACTTCAGGTAATTTTATCTTAAAAATTTTCGTTCTTATGTGTTGCTGGATGTGGTTGTTTCTAATTGAGTAATCCTATTTGGCTTGTTTAGATTTTTATAAATGTATTTCCTCAAGTTGCTGAGCATAGAAGGCTGTCAATTGTTGTATTCCTATTGAGGTATCACCTAGACTTGGAACTTGATTACTCCAGCTGGTTTTTCAGTGTTATGCTTGAATTAACTTTCTTTTCTGCAGGATTTTGGGGGAGAGTAATAGTTTGGCTTCATTCCTTGTTCTCCTTTTCCGTTTGTTAGTATCACGAAAAGGACTGTCTTGCCTTAAAATGTACACGTCAGATAGTATTTTGTATTCTGCGCGGAAAGACTGGGAGTATGCCTTTGCAGTGCAAATATGTGGGCAGTACTCATGCCTGATATGGCTTCCTTCTCTAGTAATGATTCTTCAATTAATGGGACAGGATGATCTCTCTCAAGAACTGGGTATGCAATTGTTGTTTGCTATGGATTTTGTTTTGAACAAATTGCAAGACCCAGAATTTGCATTGAAGCTTGAATCAAGGGAGAATTCAGATATCATCCAGGTATAAATCCATATGTTTTTTAGAATTTCTCATGCTTTATAATTAGACCAATATATAGCAGGTTGGACATGAGTATTCGGAACTTTTTTTTATGTGCATTTACAATGATATGCATACCTAACTTTATTCTTTTTGTACACTGGAAAATGTTAGGATTATTTTATTTTTTATTTTTGACAAAGTTGCATGAACCTATCTATAAGTTTTATGTATGTAATTGTATATGAGTTGTGAACAGATTGAAGTAGGGGCATATTGAGCTAAACTGATAAAGTGCTAGACTTGAGCTCAACCAAGCTTTATTGTCGCATTTGAGCTAGGCTCTGTTTAATTTGATTATCATCGACTCAATTAAGAGGCTCAAATCCCATACTCACGCATATATATCAGACCAACATTCATGCTTGAGTCAAGTATAAAATACTAGACCTCCAGCTTGGCTCAATAATGAACAAATTGAGCTCAATTATTAACCCAGTTGAGGTCCCTTAGCTTGAGTAGATTGATGTTTATGCCCCTTTTTATGAACCTTTTTTCAACAATTCAATGACATAGTCTTGCAGCCCTGCTCCTTTTATACACATTTAAGGTAGGTTGGATTTTGCACACATTTTTCTCATCACAACTTAGAATCTATATAATATGATAGTAGGCTATTTAAGTTGCAGTGACTTACTATAGAATATACTTCATTTTATTTAGTTTGGTTGCAATCATTCCTGATCTCTTGCCTTATTTTCTTTAGTCTTATATTGCAAAACTTTAAATTATCATCTTTTTAAGCTTTTCTGGTAAATTGTTGGGCTTGCCAATTGGCTGATTGTATTTGTTTTTTGATTTCTCATTTTATTCTTATAGTAGTCAAGCTTTATATAATATTAATATTGTTTTTACTAATTGCAGAGAAAACTTGGAGAACTTATGGAGCAGGTTGTCTCTCTTTTACAACTTGTTGATGTGAGAAGAAAGCAAATAGGTATTCCAGTTGCAATTTGGAAAGAATTTAAGGCATGTGTGCACGCTATCTTGAAGACTATTATAATGAGCATGATGCCTTCTGCATGCTTTGCATGCATCAGTAAATTACTTGGCAATGCGGATAGCAGTGTGAGAAAGAAGGTATATGCTTACTGACTCCAGTATATTCTTTTATCCTGGTTTTCTATTCCTTGTTATCTTCTTTACATTAAATTTGGGGCTGAAATTTCTATCATTATGAGGTTCAAATTTGTGTTTTATTGCTAAAATTTTGTAGGATTAGGATGCTGCAATGTTAGACTCTACCATGAAATGTGTTGTTTGTTATGGGTCATATTTATACAGTACTAGATTCTTAATGATAAGCTTATTGTTTAACAAATAAAGTTGTACTTGCAACAGGCTCTTGGGATATTATGTGAAACAGTGAAGAAGCATGACTCAGTTAAATCAAAGCGCAAGGAAAAAAGAAATCCAGACCTGAATTCAAATAGCTATGAGCTCCATTTGGATGGTACTGCTGTGGAATGTTTTCAGAAGATGTGTGCAGAAATTGTTCAGATAGTTGATTTTAGTGAAGAATCAAATGATTCGTTGAAACTGGCTGCACTTTCAACACTTGAAATCCTGGCACAGAGGTTTTCTAATTATTCAGTCTTTAGCATGTGCCTTGCATCAGTTACAAAAGGCATTAGTTCAGAGAACTTGGCTGTCTCTTCCAGCTGCCTGAGGACAACTTGTGCTTTGGTTAATGTTCTAGGACCTAGGGCACTGGCTGAGCTTCCTTGTATAATGGAAAATGTTATAAAGAAGTCTCGTGAAATTTCTCTGAGTTCCGATTTAGAAAGCAGAAGTGATGAAAATACTTCCATTGCGCTGTCTATTCTTTTCACATTGGAGGCAGTTGTTGACAAGCTTGGTGGCTTTTTAAACCCGTATCTTGGAGATATCATAGAACTTATGGTGCTTCGTCCTGCATATGTGTCAGGATCAGATCTAAAGCTGAAAATGAGAGCTGATTTAGTGCGAAAGCTCTTGACTGATAAGATCCCTGTAAGTCTTCTAATTAGTTATTATTTATTTAGTTTTTGTTTTCCTCCCTTTCTCTCTATCTGGAAATTCTTCCACTTACTCAGTCAGCTAATCCTTATTATATTTACTGTGACTTTTTTGCCAGGTTCGACTTAGTCTGCAGCCTTTGCTGAAAGTATACTCAGGTGCCGTTAAATCTGGAGATTCAAGCTTGGTGATTGCTTTTGAAATGTTAGCAGACCTAGTTAGTAAACTGGATAGAGCATCAGTTAGTGGTTACCATGGAAAGATTTTTGACCAATGTATGCTGGCTCTCGATCTTCGCCGACAGCACCCTGTTACAGTTCAAACTGTTGATGTTGTAGAAAAAAGTGTCATCAATGCAATAATCTCACTTACAATGAAACTTACAGAGAATATGTTTAAACCTCTTTTTGCCAAGAGTATCGAGTGGGTTGAGACAGAGGCTCAAGATGTTGCTGGTAGTGGAAGCATAAATATTGATAGGGCTATATCATTCTATAGCCTGGTAAATAAACTTGTGGAGAATCATAGGTGAGTAATTGTTTCTTAAGTTTCTTATTATATTTGGTGCAAAGTTATGTTTAGCTTTTGACCTTTTTTTTTTTTAAGTGGTACATTCACCTTTATCTTCCTCAATTCCAATCCCCAGAGATTTGCCCTTCAAATTCTTTTTGTCATCTACTTCATTTACCTATACTTTTGCTATTGAAGATTTGTGGTCCTAGACAAGTCTGACGTATGCATTTTGAAAAGGGATGCATGAATTTATCAAATTTATGAATTTGATTGAGGATTTATTCTATGCTGGAGTTTTGGTAATATCATGCATGGAATTTTTTGTGATAACAATGCTGCAATAGTAGTTCATTTGTTGCTTAGATGATTTTTTGTTTTTTAGGTATTTATTTATTATGTAATTATCTTTTTTTTAAATTATCCTAGCTATGTTGCTCTTCCAAATGCAGGTCTTTATTTGTCCCCTACTTCAAGTACTTGGTCAAGGGTTGTATACAGCTGCTTAATGATTCTGGAGATTTTAAAGCTTCTAATTTAGTTTGGAAGAAGAAAAAACCGAAGGTTCAGGAGAACGGGAATTTGGGAAACAGTGTCTTATCACTTAAAAGCTGGCATCTTAGGGCATTGATCTTATCATCACTACACAAATGTTTTCTCCATGACACTGGGAGACAAAAGTTTCTCGACTCATCAAATTTTCAGGCTAGTAAATCTTATTTTTCTGAATTGCAGATTTTCAAATGCATGGAGTGATTCTAATTAAGTATGAATTATGGCTATTTAATTATTCATTAAACTGGAATGGAACCCAAGATATATATTTTGCTCAATCTCACATCTAGGCAAGGCTAGGAGCAGCAGATAATGGCATTGCCTTTATTGTTTCTAGGGACTTCTTCCTCGAAATATTTCTTAAGTACCTCACCCGGTTTGTGATGATCATAAGAGATTCACATTGTTCAGATACCTGCACTTCCATTGTCTTGTATATGTGCATTCCAAGTATTTATTGAGTCCTATGCTATTGTGTTCTAGAAACCATGAAATGGCTCTATACTTGTTATCAAGAGTCTTTATTTTGTTTAACATCTCACCTAGAAACCATAGGCAATAAATGGTAGTTAAATGGACTTGTATAGTACTTTGGTTACGTTAGCTTATCCTGTTTATGATTGCTTTAATTGATGAAACGTTTGGATGCATATGCAGGTTTTATTGAAACCCATTGCTTCTCAGCTTGTCATTGAGCCACCAACTTCAATTGAAGAACATCCAGATATACCGTCAGTGAAGGAAGTAGATGACTTGTTAGTCGTTTGCATTGGTCAGATGGCTGTTACTGCCGGAACTGACCTCCTGTGGAAGCCCCTGAACCACGAGGTGGTTTTCTATCTATGGTGTTTGCATTGAAGTGTTTTACCTTTTGAGCTCGGAATTGCAGTTTTTTCGGTATTTAAATCCATTGCAAAGCATTGACCTGAATTTGCCCAAACATGCATATGGTCATCTTATTTCTTAAAGAACTTATCATTTCAAAACTTGGATAATAGTTTTCCTTGTTAACTTACTGCAAAGTTTAGTTTCATATTTCTTGTGTATTTTAAAAATATTTCAGGTGTTGATGCAAACCCGGAGTGAGAAGATGCGAGCACGAGTTGTAGGCCTGAGAATAGTGAAGCAGTTTCTGGATAATCTGAAAGAAGAATATTTGGTACTCCTAGCTGAAACCATCCCATTCCTTGGTGAATTGCTGGAGGATGCGGAGTTACCCGTTAAATCTTTGGCACAAGATATTGTGAAGGAGATGGAGACCATGAGCGGTGAAAGCCTTCATCAATACCTCTGATGTTTGTGTATGACATACTAGGACATGATACATTATCCGGGAAAACGAAGGGTTGATGCAAAGCCAGTGAGTTTCTTCTTCCAACAGGAAGTGTAAATTTTAGGTTTAAAAAGAGTTTAGGTCAAGCAATGGCCCTAAGCTTGGATGTTTAGAGCAAGGGCTGCCAAATTTTGTATGCCTTGGCCAACGTTATTTAATATATATCCCAGTTGTAAAATTATGCCCGTATGTTTCTCTCTTAAACTCATCATGGTTCAAAATATTGTCTCTTCTCATCATCTCCAAAGCTATGCAGCTGTAGCACCTGCTGCTGCTGATTCCCTCGAGAAATCTTTCCCTACTAAATCATCAGTAAAATTTTCTTTCAAAACTACCCAATGCGAGTTTATCCTAATATAATTAAGTTTCCGTTTTTGGGTAGCTGATGATCCTGGTTAATTTTTATTAACAGGCTAATTAGGATAAAATATTTGGGTCTAAGCCTTGTTCATTGGCTTTGGCCCCAGACTCTGCCCTCGGAGTGGAAGACCTAGAGTACGAAGGCATCAAGCGTATTATTCTCAAGATGATGCTTTTCTATAATAAACAAAGCAAGTTCATTCGAGGGGCAAACGTGATGTATTGGCGTGTCCTTCAACAAGTTGACAAACCTGCCATTTATATGTGAAGGTCTATCTGCTTCATATATATATATATATATATATATATATAAGCTTTTGTTAAATTTCATGATTTTGCTTTATTGACTGCCGTAGTAGCATTGGCTTCATGATTGATGTAAATTAAAACCCATATCTTTGTTGATTTGGACTTTGGAGAAGACCTTCAAAATGACATTTTGCTTTGTTCTTCATACGTGGCTTTGCTTACGCCGCTTGAAAGCTGAAAAGATGGAGTTGAATTAGGACAGTACCTTTATGAGCACAACCACCCATGGTCACTCTCAATTTCATAGACATTGAACTCGGTAGTGAGAGGTCCATATATTTCAATGAGATGGAAATGGCCTCGAGACTCCCCAAAGTATCTACACCTCCTGGGGTCTTCCCAATCGTCCGGAATTGGAGCCATCGACAATTCTTTAAGTTTCTCCTCCTCCACATTGAAATATGGAGAAGTACTACCCCATCCATTGAGCCAGTGAATGGGCACCATTACAAAAGACCCCACCATTAAATTCTGTGTTGAGTTGGGCAATGAAAGGATTACCAGACAATCTCCAGGATCGAGTCTGAGTTGAGTATATCTCAATCTGTTGGGTAACATAGCTTGAATCTGGATCATTCCAAACGTCTAGCTATGGGTCAGGATATCGGACACAAACAACTTGATAGTGAGATGATTTGGTAGGATCAAATGCTAACTAAAACTATACGTAATTCATGTATTCTGGGTAGAGGAAGGGTAACAAATTGTTTGGTCGTATGATTGTAAATATAAAAATCGTAATTGAAATTATAATCACGGTAACTACTACATTATAGTAATCCATGGCATGATTGCACAACTATCAAGCCTGAAGGGTGGTTAATGAAAGTGAGGAACTTCAAGGGAGCATCAGTTGATGACTTGTCTTCAAGAGGAATGAATTCATGTTCAGGATTAGTGAGTGAAGAATTAATGTTCTGCATGACAAGGCCTGATATGTCAGGAAAAAGGCGGCCAGAGAATTTGGAATCAGAGATGAGAGACCAGACTTTAGAAACAGATTTGAATCGAAGAAGAGATTTAACAGGTAAGCAAACAAGAATTTCGTTTAGTAGATCGTAGTATCGGCAATGGCCTCAGCATTTCAACTCTGACTCTGAGTATATCTGTTGGATCTTCGGACAATTCGTATTCCAGGCCTCTTACTGGAAAGCATATTTAGAGGAAATCTGAATACAGTAATCAATTGTTTCCTGTATGCATCGTATCAGCCCTTTCTATTAACATATACAAATATGTGTATATATATATTTATATATATATTCATGTAAAAATATGATAAAACACTTTCTCCTGTTTAGGCCTTTTGGGCTTTTGGCCTTCAGCAGGGAAAAGAAAATTACATTGAAGATACCTGGGTACGTCAGGAATCGTTGACTTGCAAGGATTACGAAAAAGGGTAAAAATTGCGCGGTTGCTCGTATAAAAAACCAAAAAATCCATTATTAGTATATCCGTACTTAATTTATTAAGTATTATTCATTTTGATATGAAAAATTTATGATTTAAATTTTTACATATATATTATGATACAGGTTAATATCTTCGAAATATTTTTAGATATTATATATATATATCATTATACGAGATATTTGGATTTAAATTTTTATATATATATATATATACACACGACGGGATATTACATATGTATTTACATATATATAAGGACGTGAGATATTTAGATTTAAATCTTTACATATATATGACAGGATATCATAACAGATCTTTAAAACATCTCGAGACATTATAAATTTTACTGTTAAAGGTTGACGTCATCATCAAATTCAATATATTCACCTAACATTGTTAAGTTTAACACAGAGCACACACAAATCATAGTTCAACATATTTACCTAATACCATCAAGTCTCACACAAAGTACACATAAATCACATGATCACACTAGACGTTAGGATTCTAAATGTGTCAAATGACATTTTAGTCAAAGTCAATACAAAACATACACAGATCACAATCTCCTATTAAAGCTTGACATCCCCTTCAAGTCCAACATATTCACCTACAGGTTCACATCAAACATTAGGATTTTAAAGGTGTCAAATGACGTTTTCATCAAGCCCAACATAAAGCATACACAAATCACAAGATTATATAAGACGTTAAGATTTTAAAAGCCAACACAAAACACACAGATCACATAATCACATTAGATGTTAGGATTCTAAAAGTGTTAACACAAAGCACACATAGATCACAGGATAATACTAGACGTTAAGATTCTAAAAGCCAACACAAAGTTCTAAAAGTGTCAATACAAATCACACATAATACACACAAATCACAAGATCACACTAGATGTTAAATTCTAAAAGCCAATACAAAACACACAAGGATCACAAGATCATACCAGACGTTAGAATTCTAAAAGTTAACATAAAATACACACAGATCATATGATCAAACTAAACATTAAGATTCTAAAAGTGTTAACACAAATCATATACATCACACATAAATCACAAGATCACACCAGACATTAAGATTCTAAAGGTATCAACACCAAGTACACATAGATCACAGGATCACACTAGACGTTAAGATTCTAAAGGCCAATAATACAAAGCACACACATATCATAAGATTATACCAGATGTTAGGATTCTAAATGTGGCTCTCATCGTGTAACATTTAGCTTATATCTGATTAGTGATCGCTCTAATACCATTTATAAGGATTCTAAAGGTGACTCTCATCGTGTAACATTTAGCTCATGTCCAACTAATAATCATTTTAATACTATTTGTGGAGATTCTAAAGGTGGCTCTCATCATGTAACATTTAGCTTCTGTCCGACTAGTGACCGCTCTAATACCATTTGTGGAGACTCATACCCAACTTACAAGATGACGTCCTCGTCAAGCCTAACATAAAACACATAGAGATCACAGGGTATTTAGCTCTTATCCGATTAGTGACCGCTCTAATACTATTTGTGGAGACTCACACCCAACTTACAAGATAATGTTCTTGTCAAGTTCAACACGAAACACATGTAGATCACATGATTATACCAATCACAGGATTACACAAGACGTTAGGATTCTAAAGGTGACTCTTGTTATGTAGCATTTAGGTCCTGTTCAACTAATGACTACTCTAATATCATTTGTGAAGACTCACACCCAATTTATAAGGTATTGTCTATTTTGACTTGACTACTCTAATATCATTTGTGAAAACTCACATCCAACTTATAATGTATTATCTATTTTGACTCGAAGGTTTATGATTTTATCTCACAAAAAATATCTCACATATTTGGATTTAAGCTTCTACATATATATCATAACAAAATCTCGAATCATTTCGATATGGAATTGGGACATTACAATTATAAATAAAAATCTGAATCTTAAAGTTTTAATTTATAGATAATATGAACTTAACTAAAGTAAAAAATTAGACCACGTGATCAAGTGAGATTTTTAATTCTAGTGATTATGGTTCAAATTTTGACAATATCAAATAATAAAAAAAAAAAAAAAACAGAAAATTAGCTAGGATTCCATCCAAAAACTATTCATCATTACTTAATATAAATTTTGACAAAATTAATTAATGCAATCCTTGGGGATCAATCCATCACAATTGTCATTGGAGGATGTTCCAACCTACAATGGTTCTTACCAATCCAAATCACTGAGATTACCCTGGAGGCCTTCGTTGTGCTTTTGCTGCACCAAATAATGTGCAATTCAAAAATGGTATTTTCTGGAATGGCGCTACTCGCTGGCTAAGTGACGGGGGAGATTCACTATGCTTTGATGTTGAAGAAGAGCAAATCAGAGATATGCCAATGCCCTCTGTCATTGGAGATGTTCGGCTATATAGATATTTTGGAGAATCCGAGGCCATCTGCATCTTATCAAAGTTTATGGTTCAGACAGTTTACAGTTTGATGAGTCTGAGATGAAGAGAGACCACTCTGGCTGGTTTATGAAGTACAAAGTTGATCTTAATCCAATTGCAGCAACATTTCCTGAGATGACTAAGGGCTATATTGATCCAATAAACTTGCATTCTTATGCATTTTTGGTTTTGCACTTGCCTAATGAAGCCATAAGATACAATTTCGAGGACAATAGTTTTAAAAGCTTCATGATTTTGCTCCACTTTGGACTATAGCTGAGGGCCATAGATCTCGTTGGAATTCGAATGTTTTGATGCTTATCAATTCTATGTTGGAAAATTTTGAAGTCCAATTATTGTTTTCGACTACTAAAAGTTTTTGTAGCTGTTTGGTATGGCTCAGTTTCTGAGAAAATGTAACCAGTGATTGGCGTTTGATTAGTAAAATATGATATTTGATTGGTATTGACAAATTTCTTTGATCAACTGAAAGCGGTCCAATCTGAAATTTCTGAGTTGCTGACATGAAAGTGCTCAATAATTTCATAGCCAATTTAACCAGGTTTCCCTTGAAAATTGTAAAGCAATAATTTAATTGGTCAAAATATTACATAAGATTTGAGTCCAACATTTCTTGCCAAAGAAAACACTGGTAACGAGGCAGATGGGTGGCTTGTCATCCAAACAAAACTGCGTCTATTGAGCCAAATCTTTTCTTTGTATTATAACGTGTCAGATAAACTTTTAGCTGATGTTAGGTCCCCATTTTCATATTAACTCGATTGCTGAAATTTATGCCGGTTTTCATGTAAGAAACTCATGGTCAAATGATGCTATGAATGGTAAGGCTTTTTTTTTTTTTTAATGCATACCAAGTCGCTATGTAATCCTCCAAGAATTGCTTGGCAATTGCAGAACAACTTACGATGACTTTTTCTCGCGCTAAACATATCCATAAGAAACCAAGTCAGACAGCATATAAATGATATTGTGAGAATTTCTACGTCTACTACTTCTGAAGCTGTATCAGAAATGATCTCCATGGAAATACAACATGTTTCAAATTCAAGTACCAAATCAGCTGAAATGATAGGCAACAACGACGATATTCTCATTAACATTCTTGTTCGTCTCCCATTAAAATCTCTCCTGAGATTCAGAAACGTGTCAAAACACTGGCTCTCTCTGATTTCTAGCCCCTACTTCTGCCTCTGCCTTAATGAGAGATCAATATTTCCCTCTGCCCTCTTATTGCGGAAGTCGGCTTCTTCAAACAAGCCCGAATTCTACTTCCTTTGGCTAGATGGAAAGCCGGTTCACGAACCATTGATTAGATCTCTCACTTTTATTGATGACTCTGCAGGCATCAAGATTTCACAATCTTGCAATGGCTTGTTGTTGTGCTGCAGCAACAGCAGGAATGGAGAACCCAACCGGAACTACTACATTTACAATCCTACAACCAACCAATACACTACCCTTCCCAAGCCTGGTAACAGAATCCCAAACACCATTTTTGGTGTTATTTTAGCTTTTGATCCCTCGAAATCGCCCCACTACAAAGTTGTTTTTGTTCGGAGTTCAAAGACTTCCCCTGATCTGTATCAGTTGGAGATATACTCATCTGAAACTCACCTTTGGAGTTTCTCTAGGGAAATTCCAAAGTTTAAGTACCGTCAAGGGGTATATTGTTCTGGTGCCATTCACTGGATTAGCAACTATGAGTCTTTGCTATGTTTTGATGTTGATCAAGAAAGTTTTCAAGAGATGCCAATGCCTGAAATTCCTGATGATTGGAACCAAAGCTTCAAGTGCAGATACTTCAGGGAATTCGGAGGCCGCCTGCATCTTATTTCTACAAATGGCAGGCACAGTACCAGGCAGTTTGATGTTTATGAGATGGAAAAAGACTCTTCTAGGTGGTTTGTGAAGTACCAAGTCGACCTCAATGCACTTATATCGACATATCCCGAGATGACTCGTAGCAACTCTCACCCAGCAGATTGGGATTATCATGCATTTAGAGTTCTAGCTGTCGTTTGCAAAGAAAGGGAAGGGTCATTCATGGTGTTACATATACCTGGTAAGATCATCTCTTACAGTTTCAAAGATAAAACTTCAACTTTGCTCCATGATTTTGCTCCTGGTTGCACAGCCATTGACGGTTGTATAGTGTTCAAAGAAGACGATGCTTATCCCTATACTGGAACTTTCGCCATTGTATGAAGTTAGATTTCAGAAAGCTTTTTGTTTCCAGCTAACTGGAGGTCTGCCTTTCTTTTTTCAATTTCTGCTTTTTTTTGTTGTTCTGTATTTGAATTAAATTATATATGTAAATATGATTGAATTTCAGGGCTAACCGTTTTACCAATCAGTGCATGATTAATAATCAGTTTTTACTAGCAAATATGCCAACTACAACTTTAAATCACTTTCACTAGCTATGTGAAATTCAGAGTGAAAAAAATGTTTCTATTCAATGGATAGATCAGAAGAAGCACTTTATCAACAAAAGTCAAAGATACTTGTGGGAGATGAAGATGATGCTCTTTACCGGTGTTTGCGGCACTTATTTTGCGAAGGTACTCAAAGGATTTATGCTTGGATGCAAAATAAAAAAGTTGATATTCCAAAAAAGACAGATATTGAAAGGTCACAAGCTGAGACAAAATTGTTAAAGCTGTGAATGCAAACAGGCAAAACATAAAAAAGTGAGTCCAGCTTGACTTCTTCAAACCACAAGCAACCAAAAAAACTGACAAATCTGAATCTAATGCTATATATATTTCTAATATGTTGGAACAACCAAAGGCTGCTTGTACAGAACAATGTGTTTTGCACATAGGCATTAACCATTTGAGCCAAGGCCACTTGCAGATTGTCTTATTGTTTGGTTAGAAAAGGAATCCGCAAAATTTTATATCTAACAAATGTGACAATCTAAAAAGATGGTTGTAGCCTTTTCGGGTAAAAGTTGAATGAATCTCCATCACGGCTCAACTATATATTCTGCTTTTCCAATCAGATTCATTTTCACCTGCCCAGCACCTATTGGTCATTAACTTCTGTTCCAGCTAAAGAATAGGAAAACTACAACACACACAAATACGCAATAAAAAATTCGATTGAATGTAAATTAGCCTATAGAGCTAGTTGAATACACAATTAGGATATGAGTTTATCAATGAGACCATATTTTTTTATATAAATAAAATGGGGAAAATCTAGTCAACTATCACAATGACAATGGTGTTGCTGTCCTATGAAAGAGCCAAAGAATGAACTAGCCAACAACATGGGATTAAATATTTGTGTCCACCATATCATTCTTGGAAAGGTTGGAAACTAACCTGAAGAACATGGGGACTGACCAGAAATCACCCATAGTAGCTGACAAACTCCTAGCTTCATTCCAACATTTCTGTTGCTCTTGGCACCACTTCAACAAACTGAAATATCTTCACTTGATGGTTAAAGGTCATTACCCAAAAATCCAAAGACATCTAACTATGCGGATATTAGGAGTGGTATAACATTTTTTGCAAGATTACATGCCTTTGTCTCTCTTAACAGGCACCAGTTTGTCATATGATAAAGAAATTCAGCAATCTGACAAAACCAACTGCAAATTCTACAATCCTCGTTGGATGGCTGGAACTTACACTTTTGCTTCATGGGAGCACCCTGAGAAGAAACTTTCTCCATAAATGTCAACATCACCAATTATAAAACCCTTGTCATGTAGCAAATATTCAACCTTTTTGCTTCAAGACATTACCCATTTATGCTATTCCGATACACATCAATGTTGTTATTGTCACCACTATTACTGTGACTGTCAAAGGCAATCATCGAAATCTAAATTTAGAAATTTAGCATGACACCAATAGAATAATGAACCACTACCATTGCCACTGCTTATATTTCTGCAAAATGCACCAGTTCCTACTTTCCAATTTCTTCAAGCTTCAAGAGTACTTGTCTGCTATTGGGTCTAAGAGAAGGAGAAGGAGAACAACAAGCCATGGCAAGCTGAAAGAATTTAAGAATGGATTCTTCAGTAACTGGATTTCCCTGATCATTGCTATTCCTCAGAAGTATGTCTGGATGATACAGATCGCTAATTCGATGATCAATAACTGCATTTTGCATAAAGTTTGGCAGATAAAAATCCTCATCAGGTGTTGGCTTTTCATTTATTGGTTCCTTTCCTGAAATTAGTTCAAGAAAGATCACCCCAAGACTGTATATATCAGTCTCTTCACTTGCATCCCTCATTTTGATTAGCTCAGGAGCTTTATAGCCCTCAACTGCTGAAGCTTCAAGCATTTCTTGGCCAGAAGTAGGATTCAAGAGTAGATATAGTCCAAAATCCGAGACATATGGCTGGTAATTGCGATCCAAAATTATGTTCTTAGACTTAATATTTCCATGGACTATTGGCTTTTGCAATCCAGTGTGCAGATGATCTAATCCTCTGGCCATACCAATGGAAATCCTATAAATTATGGTCCATCTATGAGACTCCCCATTCCCATCTGCCCAAAAGAAACAGTGAATTTCAGTCTCTTACAGATCCTAACTAAAAGTTATCATGAAGAAAAAGAAGATTTTAACTTTTACTTTGCTATTCCAATGTGAAGCTAAAGAGTGATTTTGGTTGTTGAAACATTATCAGCTAAGATGGGTAAGAGGGAAGGAAATATAGCAAAGTAAACTCAAATCATCATTCACATGGAGATAGAATTATGGAAAGGTAAGGGAAAAGGACAGAGGTAGGTGCAATGCCGACAGATAAAATTTTGCAGCAAAGAAAGTAATTATGCTAGGCAATATGTATATAGGGGATGTATATTCTACAGACAAAATTAAGTTAATCCACAATCTGATTCCAGGTTAAGACTTCTTGGTAAAGCAACCTGCTTCCTTCAATTAAAGAATAATAAATATAGACCTTTTCTTTACAAAAACCATTGTCTCAAAATTGGAAAATCAAGCTGAAAGACCAAAACTTATGGACAAAAGTTAAACAATTTGGTCATTCTTTTATCATTTTTTTAATTTTGGAAAATGTACAAACATATATAATTAACCCCTCAACCAACCATTTTCAATTTCATAGCGTCATAGAAACAAAACAAAAATGTCAAACCTAAAATTGGAAAAATCAGTACCAAATAAACAACAAGTGAAAGAACCCAGAGTTTGAACTGGAAAGTCATAAACATTTCCATGAGATAGAAAAAAGTTGCAAAAAACAAACGGAAAGCTTTCAATACTTCTTAAATTGAAATCATTAATTTGCTCTACTTCAAATCTAGAATTACAGTGAAGCAATTTAGTTAGTTATTTTTTATGTGAGTTAAATCCTGCATTTTATTAGGCTCCCATGACTGGTTCCTATTACATCAAATTTTCCTTTGAGATTTTCTGCTTTGGGGGAATCAAAAGGAGAACTTTTCCTCCCTTTCTCATAGAAAATGATAAAACTTGACCAAAGAAACAAATAATTAAAAAAAAAAACTTGTTTGAATGAAAGGAGACCAGAGAAATAAATTGAATCTTGAGCTTCAAAAGATATGAAGCTCAAGCCAACTAGGCTAAGTAACTGAATTTAACCTCAGATGTTCAATCAATGTCTTTACTTTTTTTTCTGCATTTGCTTCCAAACCAAGCACAAAATAAAATGAAACAGAACCGGGGAAAATAAAAAAACTTACCTCTGATTAACTGAGCCAGATTGCCATGCCTGTAAAAAGGATGAACAAGAAGCTTCTCTCCTCTGGACCCAGCATAAAATCCCAAAAGAGGCACCAAATTGGGATGTCTAATGCACCCCAACTGCTGAACCACATCACCAAACTCTTCACCTCTCAAGGTACACACTGGCCTCAAAAAACGAAGCATTCTGACCTTATTGCTCCTCTGCAACAAGGCCTTGTACAAGGTTCCATAGTTGGACTTCCCAATTACTTCACCAGGAGCATCGAGAATGTCACAGATGGTGAGCTCTTCTCCACTACTAAAAGTTACCAAGTCCTCCATTTCTGACTCATCTTCTTCATGCTTCTGCTCTTTGCTTTCTATGTCACCCAGCTGGTAATTTCTAGCTATCCTCTTACGGTAAAAGAAGATGACAAGTATAAGAACGAACAAGAAAGCTGCTAAAGATAATGCGAGAACAAGTTTTAACATGTGGGTGTTTTTCATTGCATCAAAATTTCAAGTTTTTTAAGGTTTTTACAAAGAACGTTCGCAGCTTGCTAGAGAATATTGAAGATCCAGGTAATGCAGTGTCTAGATATCGAAAATAGAAAGTTGGGTTTTTTTCGGTGGAAATTTCTTTTGTTAGGGACAGGGTGGATATAGAAGACAAGAAAGTATATATAGATTTGAAACTTTGTGTTTTGTGGGGGATTGTGGAACTATTTTTGAGGACAAAAATTTAACTCAAAAAGACAATTTGGATTGAGAAATAGAAATAGAGAGAAGAGAGGGTCTGCTAATGCATCTGCAGAGTCAAAAAATGGTGGCAGAAGAGAGAGCAACTGCCATGTGAAAGCTTTATTATCTTATTTTTGTCAGCCTGTTGTTGTAAAATTAGCTCAACTGCCCCATATGCCATTGTTGCTCTTCAAAGTTTTACTGTAAAACTTGTTGTATTGGTTTTTCAATGGAGTCTTATGTATTAATAATGCATCATGAATATACTTTTATTAGTAATATTAAACATGCAATAACTATAATAAATGTACACTTTAGTTGCAACTTACAACACTATTAGATAATTAAGATAATGGCAATGCAAATAATTTGGCAAATAATTCAAATTAGAGGTTAAAAAAAAATTTTTGTTTGGATCATTTACCTCCAATCTTCTTGCTGATAAACTTAAAAGCAGCAAAATAGCCTTGCATTAGCCTAAACTTTGAAGGGCCCTTTACCCATTTAAAAGGGTAGCTTAGATTATTGGGTTCTTTTGGGATATAAGGACCCTTGAAATCACAATTTAAAAATTAAAAAAAAAAACTATAAATGTTAATATCTGAATTAAGTATAAAATTTTTTCCTTTGTTACCTACAAAAGCGGCTTTCAATAAATTTTTTTAGCATTTCTTTCAAACAATTGAAAAGCAAAAGATAAGACTGGGATTGCAAAAAGGGAAATGGAAACGTAGGGCTTAAAATGCTGGACCATACCTTACTTTTCTTCAAATACTTTGATTGATATGCTTAAAAAAAAATTGAATGTCAGAATTTCATAATCTACACCAGTAACTTTATTTTTTAAAAATAAAATAGAATTCATTTTTTTAATTTTTAATTTTTTAAAACATAAACAAAAAATTATGAAAAATTATGTTTCCTTTTTTTAAAAAATAAGAATAATAAATGTAGGAAAGGTTTCTTTATAAAATTTTTTTATCTATCTTTAAAGTTTTATCATATTATTTATTAAATTAAAAAAATTATATATATAATTTTTTAAAATCCGTAATCTCATATTTAAATGATATGTGATATAAAAAATAGTCAAAAAAATTTATTTTGTTATCGGAAGAAATAGTAGTCTAATTGACTAAATTTTATACACTTTCAACTTTCCTTTTTTTTTCAACTATTATTTGGGTAAAGATCCTTTTCCTTTTGTTTTTTTTTATCCACCAAAAATTCAATCCTAGAATGATTTTATTCCGTTGGTGGCCCATTTCCATATTGGTTATAAAAATTAAAACTCTCAATTGCACTGGGGACCAAAGGTGGTCCATAATTTTTTTATTGCCTTCTGAGTCACCTTTGTCCAATTATCTTGTCCAAAAATCACCATCAAGTGGATAATTCATCACCACAAATTCAACTATAAAAGAAAATAAAATTGAAAATGTTAAATTTTTAATTTTTAATTTTAATAATCAAAATTTAATTTCTAATAATTTAAAATAAAAAATTAAAACATTAATTTGATCCTTTTACAATTGTAAAAAATAATGATAACATCAATTTAACTAGAATGTAATGATGATGCCAATTATAAAAAATTTAAGGTAATTAAAAGGTTGTGCTATAAAATTTTTAATTTAAATAATTCATGCAAAATAATTTCATGTATTTTAATATCATATTTATTACATTTTAAATAAAAATAACGACAAATACAAATATATATTAAGATTAATTTAGTTGATAAGATAGTTATTTTTTTTATCAATGCGATTTGATTTTTATAAGAGTCACTTTGGAAATAAAATTTTAAACACATAACAATATAAAAATGTGGATTTTAAAATCGATGTAGAAAAAAATATTAGTCTCAAATAATTTTTATTGATATCATAATTGTATTAAAAAAATAATGCAAAAAGATTATTTTATAAATTTTATATTTTTCTTATTATGTCAATGTAATCAAATAGTGTGGCCATGCAATGAAAACTTATAGATGAAAACTTAATTGAGCTTGTTATACCTTTAAAGCATGATTTTATGAAGTTATTTTAATTGAAAATAAAATAAAAATACTCGGAATTTTGGAAAAGTTGTAATATTATCATTTTTGCGGCTATATATAAATTGAAACTGACACGTGTAAACGTAATGGAACGCCTAGACTTTGAAGAGGTGATGTGTATATAGTTAGTTGGTGGTAGTTGAGTCAGACATCAGAATGTAAATCAAAGGCGCAGATTGATGAGTAGTTTTGGGACCCACATATAGTCAAGATAGGATAGCCTAAGGAAAATCATACCATATGAAAATAATATAAAAAATATAAAAATAATATGATTTAAAATTTAATAAAAATTATATATAAATTTAATAAAATAAAATTTATGTGTTTTATATATTTTTTATTAATATAAATTATAATAAATAATTTTTATATAAAATATAATATAAATATATAAATAATTAAAATTTTATTCGATATCGAGTGCAAAACAAAACAGCAGTTGTGATTTTACTGAAAATTAGGATGATAATTTCATTATTAATTTAACTATGTAGATTGGAGTTTTGTCGAGTGATATGATTAAAAATAGTGAAAATAATATGATTAAAAAAATGTAGTAGCACATGTGCTTAATGGGACATTATAATTCTCTTCAACAATTAAGGAAACCTTCCAAATCCGACTCATATTTTGTTTGGTATTTTCTGTGATCAACGGCACAATTTCATAGAATAACATCACAAGTGGTAAACCCACGCTAAAAAACAAAAAAAAAAGGGGGGGGGGGGAGGGAAATTGAATTGTTCAAAAGCTGGTTTGAAATGTCTAATTTTTGTAATTTACTTTGATGAATTTTTATTTTTAATGATTAAAAATTTAATCTGTAATACTCTCAAATATTTAAAAAAATTATATTTTATTAAAAATCACATGGTTTTGATAAAAAACTGTTCAAATATTAAAAATATGATCATTAATATGATATGACCTTACATGATACTAATTTATTATTGTTGCCTTATCAGCAGCGCAGGGCAGCACTCTCCATTAAAACATGCAGCTCCAATGAGAAAAGTAGGAAGTAAATAATACTACAATGATGAAAAAAGAGGATAGAGAAATTTTCGTCTAAGGTTTGGTGGCTTTCAATTATAAATATCAGGCAGGGACCAATGAGCCAACCCTCTTAGTGAATGCTAAAGCAAAGGGTGGCATTGGTGTTAGATGTGGTCCGTCCTGTTGAAATAATGGAGTGGTAGACGCATGCAAGAATCAGCATTGACTTCTGCTAATGCCAAACATCGCATCATTTTCATGGGGAAGGATTAGGAAACTGTGTCTTTAGGTTGAGGTCACTGTCTTAATGGGAAATTTACATTTGATAATTGATGCTATAAGTGAAGTTTGAGGATGAAAATGGAGATCACCATCACCACATACAGAACAGATTGAGGAAATTGATTGAATGAGAGGAAAACAGATTCTAACCCAAGAACAAGATTGATGATGTAAGAATTTTGTTGCACATAAAACAGCAGCTGTCCAGTGTTATCTAGAACTAAATAAAAAAAAAAAATAGCTGGATATGGAAACAATATAATAGAAAAATTGACAAGAAAAGACACCTAAAGAATGAAAGAAAACAACAGATCTTTAGAGAGAACAGATGATCACTTGCTTCTACTTGTCAACAAATTAGGTAGGAAAACAATGGCGGATTTGCATGTATTTATAAGTTAGAAGAATAATTCTAGTCCATCAAAAAAAAAATAGTACTTCTGTTAGATGGACAAGAATTATTCAGACATGGTTAACGAAACAAAGGTTAATGGAACTCTAGCCAACAGCTGTGAGGTTGTTTCATATAAAAATATATCAGATTAACATATACATACATACATATATATATATATATATATATATATACATACAGACATACATACATTTTAAGGCCTAGTTCTTTGACACTCGGAGATTAGCAATGGCTCAAACGAATCCCAAGGACTTGGCTTGCTTGGAGGCATATATGGGGAGAATTGAACCTAATGTTGTTGAAATGGGAATATAGGATGAATTCTATATCTGTCGACATAGCCGGGGATTTTATTAAAAAGGAATCAATTATAAAAGAAAAGATGGGAAATTGCACTGAAATAATGCTTAAAACTTGCATTAATACTTATAATGGAAGTTTGGAACCATTTCAATAAGCAATGTACCTAGCTTCTTTATACAATTGCATTTCTTCATACTGACAAACCTATCTTTTACACCTGAACTGCACATAAAGCTGAAAGAATTTGTAAAAAAATAGTAGATTGTGCAATACTACCAAAGACGACATTTCTAGTAGTGATTAGGCCAAAGAACGTATGGGGAGTAAAAATTCATTGTTTTCCGGACTTCCACTCTGCAATTGCAGAAAGAAGAGTGTAATTTGGTAGCAGATTCTTATTTGACAAAGGTAAGTTTGTCATTGGTGATTTATCATTGCTTTCAAGCCATTTCTCGATTGCTTTTCTGTCATAAGTGTAACCATCTGCAGCAACACGTGGTTCATCCGTTACATCCTGTAAAATACACCAGTTCCAATTAGACAAATGAATTGCAGGATAGAAAAGACAGTGAAAAATGCATTTGCATATACTCAAGCTGATATCCTATTAGATTAGCAATCTTCTAATATAAATCCTTGTTATGTCCTGTTAGAATAGCAGAGATTATATTGGCATACCTTCAATATTGGGCAAATGAAGTGGTTAGGAGGTGCAGACTGCACATGGGAAATTGAAACGCGAGCCCTATTTGCTACTTCCTTCATTCTCTCTAGTACAGGAAGTACTTGATCTTTCAAACCGGGTCTGTCTTTACGACGAAGCTCTGCACAGCTCAGTCCCAATATAACTAATTCCTTTGTTTCTTCAACTGGCCAATTTCCGGCCTCTGAATCTAAAATCCCTTCTAAGTTATCATCATCAATTGCTGTTTCCACCAGATGAGTCAGTGCTATTGCTGGCTTTGCAGTTAGCAACTGCAGTATTACCATCCCAAAAGCATAAACATCGGATTTTGGAGATATCAACCCAGTTCTTTGATACTCAGGATCTATATAGCAGAGTGTTCCAACAGGTCCTGTGTCCTTGTACACGGTGGATGTAGAGGAAGGATCAGCAGTTAGCATCATGGAGAGTCCAACATCACCAATTTTGCTCACAAAGTTATGATCAAGCAATATGTTTGCTGGCTTTAGATCACGATGAATGATTGGTTCTGGCTTTGAGTTGTGGAGGAAAACAAGAGCCGAGGCTACTTCCCAAGCAATTCTGTATCTCTCAAACCATGGGATGGGTGGGGTATTGCTCTTCCGGAGCAGTCTCTCCTCCAAGCTACCATTCTCCATGTACTCATAAACTAGGCAACCATGATCAGGGCATGCACCAAGAAGGAGAAGCAAATGTGGATGACGAAATTTGCTCAAGATTTCTAGCTGAAACAGAAAAGAAAGACTAAGTATTTAGTTGCAATTTTTTTGGGTGAGATCAACTCAGGATCACATATTGTCCTAAAACAATAGCATTACACTTACACCAGAGGCATAAGGTTGTATGCCATTCACACTAAATCATAACAGGTTTCACTCTGCCCACATTCAGAGAGTGGACACACAATTTTCACTTGATTATTGAAAGACCAAAACATAAGGCATATGAAATTTCACTTCAATTTTCTTTCATTATCTATGAACTATTATGGTTAGGTTTTATCCAAGAAATTTCATACCTCCTGCTGGAATTGCTTAGTTCTACTATTCTCTTTTGAGTGGAGAACTTTCACTGCAGCAGCTGTATGATGGAATTTGCATTTATAGACAGTTCCATATGCTCCCATCCCAACTCTAAGATCTTCTGAGAATGACGATGTAGCAGACACAATCTCTTCCCAAGTGAACATTTGGTATTGCTGGAAGGGACCTGTGAGAGCATTCTTGAGCTTATCTTTTTTTTTCTTTAGCATCGTGAAAGGCTTTCATCTCTGCTTCTTGCCTCAGCGAGGCTTCTCTGTCAGCACATTCCTTCACATGCTCAACTTCTCTTCTTGCAGCTTCATGCTTCCCCTTCTCTTCTCTAGCTAATTCTTTAGCTCGCTCCTGCTTAAAACTTATCTCCTTAAGCTTCATTGCTTCCTCTAGCTGCCGTTTGCTTAGAATATTCAACTAACAAAACATAGTGATGAAGCCCATTAGTTTTGACAGTGAGAGAATTGAATAAGTCTGTAAACCCGAATACCCTTTCTTGACTGCACACACTACTAGAGGGTTATTACTTAGTTCTTAAAAAGAGAATTGGACCATAATGTGAAATTCACACTCAATTAGAATACACAGACCATTATATCAGTTAATGTATTCATTATAACTTGACAATATTTTCACTACCATAAAGTTTATGCATTCAGATTAGAAAGTAAAGAAGCTCAGCAGCCACTAGACTTGAAAAATACTCAAAAAAATTCTTGGAAATAAAACATCAGGAAATATGGCTGAAAACTTTGTTGAGGACCAATGATGCTAAATGGCAGCAAAGGTGTGATTTTGTTTGAAGTACCTTGAATTCATTGAAACTTCAACCACAAAGAAAAAAAATGATTAATTTACTCCACAAATAGTTTCAGGAAGAAGGCAAAATTGATATTATCCAACTAACCTTCTGAGATGCATCAATTGTCTCACTTTGAGCTATTGCATACATCCCTCGAACGTGTCTGAGTTCAATTCTCAGTTTTTCGAGCTCAAAGTTAACATTTACCTGCATATATGATTGAAACCAAAACTTAACTACAATAATATGTGTAAGTGTCATATTGACCTCCAAAAATAAACCAAAAGGAACTATGCTTTTCTAGTAAAATCACATTTGTCCTTGCTGAAGCATCTCCTTGAAGTTAAGTTGCAGCTTAATTATCAATAGAAACGCATTTTCACAAATTTGAAGATGGTCATGACAAGTTGCTGAACAAGTGAGTTACTAAGCAGAAATCATTTAAGCACTGCACAAATTCAGGAATTCAGCTAGCATATTTAACTGAGCAACTGATCACACAAATTAATGAAATACCTTATTCCTTTTTTTTTTTTTTGAGAATGAAATACCTTATTCTTAAGGCTATGATCATGCATAATTTTGCAAATGTTAAAAACTATTGTTAGTAAAAGATCTAATTCCTGAATGAAGAAAAAGCACAATTGAGGTATCAATCTAAGCTATGCCAATTATGATCTCATTGATTGTACCACTCAGATGCATCAGCGCAACCTATTTTTGAACAATAAAGGCATAGCCCACCTGACATTCAGATGATGAATAGTCTGTCAGCACATCTGAGGTAGAAATTTTATCTGATAACCACAATTGTCGATCTGTTGGCAAGCTTATGCAACTAGAAGTGCGACTGACTGCTTGTCTAGTTTCTGAACTGCTAGGACAAGAGCTCATATCATCTGTCACAATGTCAATAGAAAGGCATCTAGAATGGTTGATATCAGGAGATCTAGAGCGGGTGGATTCAAGCAATCTGGACCGGTTAATATCACGAGAACTTGTTCTTGTATGTAAAAATGTCCGATTTATATTTGAAAGTGCCTGACATTGCTGAATTGGCAGGGAAGGAGAACGGAAAGAAGCACAGGATGCCACTGAGCCCAATTCTACAATTACAAAAACAGAAATGGAGGTTGGTTATTGGTTTTACTGACTAAGGAATGTCACTTGGTGAAGTTTTCTATCACACAAGGAGAGAAAGGCTGCCAGAGGATGAGGCTGAGGATAAATGAAATAGTTTTAATAAAATTCAACACTTAAAATCAAAATGCTTCACTACACAGGTTTTTAAATTTATACTAATACAGGTATGTATTTCTAATCTTAAAATACCGGATCATAAGCAACATTTGCAAAAGGTTAACCAGAGCAGAAAGAACAGGAATGATATATGAGGTTATCTTGCTTAAAGTGCATGGACTGCAGGCAGTTTATATTCTTTACAGTGACTATCCTTTATTTTCGGAGTATATGGCAATTAATCAAATTGGCAAGGAAATAACAGTTTGCATTCTTAATCATCAACTTTTTTTTTTCTTTTTCAAATTGTTAGAGACAACAAAAGTTGCGTTGATGCAAAAAATTTTTCATCCCTTGTTCATATTCTACAACAACTCCACAAGGAAAACAGTCCTTGTTTTCGACAACAAACATTAGCATGCTTATTGTTCCATCATTTGACATTGAGCAGTTGTGTCTCAACTCTCAACCTCTAAGTGAAGTATAAGTACCTGTTTGTGAACTAAAACTGTAACTTGATGAGCTTTTGGAAGAAAAACTTGTTTCACTACTGTCATCCTTAATGCTTCCATTTATCTCCGAATTAGATGGTCGAATAGATGTTAACTTTCCTTTTGAAACAGCATAGACTGTACAAAAGCTCGGAGTGCCAACTGAGATTCTTGAGGACATTTTCTTTTTCTTAAGCTTCCTACAAATATCATCATTTTAACAAGATTATTGGTGAAGCCAGTGCAAAACTCCAAATAGAGAGCACATAAGCAAACAGAAATGCAAGATGTTCACTCTCATTTTCCTAAGACAAACAGGAAAAATCTGATATGCTCGCTCAATAATGAAGAAATGAAAAAACTGATCATTTCTAAAAATATGAAAATCAATTTATCTAACCAGTTTTTTATTTTGAACTAGTAGATCCTGGGCAACTGATTCATAGGATTGTCAAAAACTCCCTTGTATCCTACAAGGTTTGGTTGCTTGTTACCTGTTTGGTTGTCAATAACCATAATTTTATATAAGACCCGTTTGCCAGGCTACTAGATCAGTCATGGTCAGCATTGCAATTTCCTTTTTCCACTATGTCGTGAAAATACCTTGTAAACATCCCACGAGATGAAGTGCCTATAACAAGCTTAGTGATAGTGCTCTTGGCAACCTCCTCTGCTATTGCATTTGCCACCTCATCCGATTCAATGATTAGAACATCAAGTTGCACCTAGATTCAGATATTAAGCAAATTTAATCCACTTTTTCAGGATACACACACGATAAGATTCAGTAAGAAAAAGAAGGCACCTTTTTTTGAGCACACATTTTCTTGTAAGGAAGAAGCATTTTGTTTGTCTGCCACGCCACTTCCTTCTTATAAGCAGCAGCTACATCATCTCGTACTTGTGAAATTGGTAGGAAGTTTCCCACTAGACGCAATAGGATTTTAGTCAATTAACATTAATTCTCAGTGTTTTATCAGCTTGAAATAGTTTTTCTGAAATTGTTTACCGAGAAATCAACCCTTAAATACTAGTCCACTTTGTAAAAGACATTTCTCCATATGTTTGTCAACATATTGGCAAATTGAAAACATTAGATGGCCAACGAAAAGTTCAAAATTGATAAACAAAATTTTCATTTTGAACACCATTCATACTAATTATGTGCAATTCCAATGACCTCGAACAAATACTTGAGAGACATATCTAAAGGTTATGCACAATTACCAAGTTCTGAAGGGTTATGAAGATACAAGTTAACTTATCATCCCTGAACAGAAATCATCTCTAGGAACCATGACTTACTTGGTGTAGGAACCGCAGTAATCTTCGGACGCACATGTAACAACTTGAACATGACGTTTTCCTCAGGAATGAATTTATCCAATGCCCATTTGACCATAAACTTGCTTTTTCTACTTCCATTGATGGCTATTCCAATAGTTAAAGTTGGCGAAGGTGGCAACACCAGTTCACCTACTGCTTCTTCTATTTCTTCCTTCTCCATTATTCTGCCACTTCCTTATAAGACCGAATTCTCTGCAGCTTTACAGAAAATACCATGTTAGAATATTTATGAATGGATGGATTGATCAGTTATTCATTGTTCATTAGTAACGGCACCTGACTGGAATATCAGAAAAGAACCTGCAAATTTAGGATTCTTTTGGCATGTCATGGATTGAGAAATATACAAACCATAGTTACATATAAAATTTCTGTTTTCCATTGGAAAACGAAACTAATTTCTGGATTCTAGGATATTAAATTTCCCAACCCGAAACGTAGACTTTGAAACCAAAGGTGCTTAAGCTTTGAAGAACCCGATTGTGGAACTGTCAAAACCAGACATACATGAAAAACTGAACCCAAAACTCAGACAACTGCTAGAAACCCATAAAAGGAATACAAATATCAAATCAAAAGAGAACCTGGAAAACAAAATAAAGCAAACTAAAAACGTACCAACCTCGTCTGCAACTTGAAACCTTCAAGCTACCTCTAGTTCGAAACCCACCATGTTTTTACTTCAAGGTTGGGAGTCAAACCAAGGCAATGAAACAAGTTTAGTTTCCCATATCTATACCAAACTATACTACATGACTATGGTGTTAGCTTTGAAGATGACCCAAAGCAGACTGTCCCCACAAGCACATTCAGATTTCAAAGGCAACTATCCCGTGCAGCATTTACCATTTCTGATAACAACAATTTATGTAATTTTTAATCTGCTTTCAGATTTCAAAGGCAACTGTGCCGTGCAGGATTTACCAGATAAAACAATTTCTGTAATTTTTAATTCGCTATCCAAACTGCTACTTGGGTTGGGTTTAGATTATATGTTTATAAAAGTATCTGTTTGTCCTCTGCGTATACTTTTCAAAGAGAGTGTGTTTTGTTCTTGTTAAGCAGACAGCCAATTATTGGTTGCTTCTGACTAGAATAAATTGCAAAAATTTAGTTTCTTCCTTCCTAGTAAATCATCAAAAATTGATCAAATTTGGTAAGACTTCAAAACGTTTGAGTCGTTGCTGAAGCTGGCATGTTTGTTGGGCATTAAGTTTTCATCTTTAAAGAGTTGTTGATAGAAGAAGTTTCCTAGTACCAAACAGATGGAAACAAATGGCTAAAAAAAAAAATTGGCGCTTAATTTCTTGGACCTCTTCCTTCCAAAGTCATTTTCAGTGTGTAATGGTGAAATACAAGCTCACATGAATCTCTCACTCGCCTTTCTTTGAACGGTGAGTTAAAGCTTTGTCATGCAGGAGAGGACATGTGAAAGTGATGCTATCGAACAAAGGACAAAAAGGCAACAAATCCCATCAAACGCGCTTTTCCTTGGAAAAAAAGATTTTGTACGGGTGAAGAAAAGAGATGAAATTGAAGCGAGTAACTTCCTGTTTATTTTGCAGAAAATAATTTTTAAAATTAATTTTTAAACAATATTTATATTTTTTGAATTGAAAATTCTTTTTATTATTTGAATGAATTAATAAAAAATATTTTTTGCTATATAATTATTTTTTGAAAAATTTATTTTTTAAATAATATTAATATAATTATTAAAATATTAAAAAATTATTTATTATTAAAATTATTAAAATTAAAAATAATTATATTTTAATAATATTCAATATTAAAATATTATGTCAATATAAAAAGTAATTAAAATAAAACTATTTATTATTCTTTATATTATTTAATAATATATTATAATATTATTATTCATAATATTTATTAATATATTATATTAATAGAATATTATTTATTATTAATATATTGCTTATTAATATATTATTATAATATTTATTTATTAAATTAATATTATTTATTATTTAATATAATATTAATAAATAATATTATAATATTTATTTATAATAATATTTATTTATTAATATAATATTATTTATAAGTAAAATTATATTGAAAAGTATTGATAAATAATTTTACTAATAGATAAATTTTTTTTTAAATGTATTCTCTTTTCAAATTCTTAAGACAATTTTAAAAATATTATATTATTTTTTATTAATCAGTGAATCATTTTTCGTAACAGTTAATTTTTTACTAAACAAATACTTGAAGATATGAAAATCGTTTTTGAAAAATCATTTTTTTGAAATAAAATCTTATTATTTTTTTATTTTCTTTTATTATAATAAACTTTGAAGTTGACTTGCTATATTAAATTTTACTATTCTTTTGATGCCTGTTCATGGTGTAAACATTGGCCATACGGTGAGACAGATGAACTTGAGGGATGGTCTCCGACTCTCAGTGGCTTTCTCTTCATTGACAAGACACAAAGATGTTGGTGTTTGAGGAGGACATCGGGAAATATTTGATCTTCTAATGAAAAATCAAACATGTTGTCAGACACAAGATTCATGAACAACTATCCTGGAAAGAAAACCTGACCACTTTTCAAGGGTTGTAGTGTATTAAGGGAAACGATATACTATTGTTTTCTGATCATCATGATGAACACGAAAAAAGAGTCAACCACCTCATGAATCGATTTGCTTGATATGTGTTAGAGAGATCATACATGACATTTAAGGCTGCAAATGCATCGTAATTCATATCTTAAAAAAGATGCAGAATTATTAGAGGTTAAAATTACAGGATTGCAATTCTTTTAAATATATGACATATATTAAGGCTGCAAATGCATCGTAATTCATGTCTTAAAACCATGCATAAGATATTAGTACACCTTTTACCCCGGAAGGCAACACCATTACCTGAATTGGTCTGCCTTGCTGAACTGTTTGTTTGATTCTGCTGCTCCTGCTCTGATGATGGCGTGCTGTTTGCGTTGGATTACCATTTAGTCGATAGCTTCTTCCTCTCAAAGCGACTCCAGCAGATGGATCACGCTGCACTGGAGAGTTTACCTGGATTCCCTCCCCCCAATAAGCTACCAGTTTGTGACTGGAAAAGCTGATTAAGGACTACAACTGTTCATAACTCAAGTAACATTCTCAACTATGTCTTAAACAATTAGCCAAATCTTCTGTTGCCCCTAGGACTTGTCTTAAAAGAAAGAAAAACGTGCTCAAGACAATTTTATCTCCAGTAGCATATTAAAATTGAGGGAAAAAAGCTCGAGATTTCACATAATTGATTCATATAATTACTCAAAGAAAAAGGCTTTGACATTCGGGTTCAGCAACTTAAAGAATGATGTTGATGCATATATAATTAAACCGAGCAACAAACAAAAGAAAGGATACGCCCAAATAGGAGTCTTGAAAACGTACTTCCCACCAGCAAGAGGATGAAGTACTGTTAAAAAGTAATAAAGATGCCCTGCAACCATCCCAATGATGTCTTCGTTTAAAGAGGCTCCAATTATCAAATCCAAAGCCAGCAATGCCCAAGGTAGATAAAATCCCTGCATGCACATGATCCTACAGTTAGATTCTGATTAATTGACTTTGGAAGAAGAGTTTCTAAAGATATACACTTGAGATAACACCAGAAGTAGATGAGGCTAAGCTGACAAGCAGCAGCCTCCCACTAAAACCGACAATAGGTGGAAAAGTCCAGGGAAAAAAAACTCAAAACCCCTAGTGTGACTAAAACTATAGGGAGAAAATCAACATACCTTCAATGTCACTACATCATAGATGCTGATTTGCGCATTTGGGAACTCACGGCTCCATACATAGACAATCATGAAAACCAATGAACCTGCCATGAAAGGTGTCCATAGAAATGGAATAGCGGCCATAACCTAGAATCAATCAGAAGCATGGCATTATTTTCATTTTATGTAGGTTATGGTTATAAAATGTAGTTTCTGGGAATTGGGGTTGAATATTGCTGGCTATAGAAATAAAGATCAAAGAAAATAAAAATGGTATGATGATTCATTTAACTATTTCTTTTATTACTCACCAAAAGTGACAGTGCTCCAAAGATTAACATCCAGAGATAGTCTGCTTTTCTGTTGTCAAAGGGCACTTTCTCTAGTAAGACACCATACCTTGCTCTGTGCAATTGAACTCGAAATGTTAAGCAAACATAAACCTCATCTTTCAAAGTAGAGTCTTACATCATGGTGTTGCAAATTTATCTCCCTCCCCTTTCCCTCCTCTGCTCCCCAAATGACCAAAAATGAAAGGAAAAGAAATACTAAAAAACTTCAATTCTCGAAACCATTAAAAGATTCGGAAGAGTCAGCTTCTCATATCATGATAAGACGGATGGCGAAAAAGAGTGAAAATGGCCCAAGGAAGAAGTTGGTAATGAGCCTCCAAACCTGCAGCAGAAGAATAATATCAATGATCAACCACAAAATGCTCTTCTATTTGTAAATTGGATATTATATAAATATATATATATATATATATATATAAATGTGAACTCTAATGAACGACATAAATACCCTTATAAATTTTAAAAAATAATAAATTTACTTTTAAATTTCTAGCATTATTTATTTATTTCATAATGATTATTTGTCATTAAATGTATAGCTTTCATTAGTTAGTTATTTAAATTTAAATCTAAAAGTGTTAAAAATAAATAACATTAATATCTTTATAAATTTTAAAAAATAACAAATTTATATTTCAATTTCTAGCATTTTTTATTTATTTAATAAAGATTATTTGTCATTAAAAATATAGCTTTTTATTTGTTAGTTATTTAAATTTAAATCAATTAAAAATTTACAAATAAAATTTATATCAAATTAAACTATATTAAAAAATTATTTGTGGGATATGATGGGCCTGTTGTCCAAAATTAAAATTCTTTTGTTAAATTTCATAGGTAATAATTCAATCAAATTAATATAAAACACATTATCATCCTATGGGTTGTGATATACTATGAATTCGTGATATTGAACAAAATATAGATAATTTTTTTTCCTATTTCTCAATTACTAATTGTTTTAGCCTAATTTATTAGAACATAATGTGTATACCCCAAAACATTTAACTTTATCTTAAGTAAAGCATATAATTTTCATTTTTAAGATATAATCTAATTTACTCTTGTTCTTTTTTAATGGCACATATCATGAGTCTTTAAATATATTTATATTTTTTGTTTATTTATTTTAGATTAATTGAAATTAAAGTTCATACAAAATTATAAATTAAATTATAAAAAAATTATTCAAAAAGAGTAATACGTATATTATGGTAAATTTATAAGTTTGATTATTTTTATTTTTATGATAAATATAAATTTTTATGTTTAATGATTGAAATGATTGATTATAATATTTCTAATTACTCTATGCAATCACACCTTAACATTATAATGCTTAAATGAATGTTTATTTTATGAACAAAATCTCATGTACCCTTGAATTGTTATTAAACTTAGTTTTTATTTTATCTTCTATAGATTGATTCTATACTACACCTAAGTTCATTTTGGTATATCCTTAATTTTTTATAGTTAATGTCAAATATTTAGTACTTAAGATATTTTTATGAAACCAAAGTCAATATTGCTAAGAAACATTAATCTTGAAGAAATGAAATTATTTTATATATTGTTAGTTGAATTTTATTTTTTATCTTCACAAGCGGATTAAGAAATTAACACATCACTCATTTTTTTTAATTTATTTTTTTAATATACTCTAAAGCCTAAAATATATATGTCACGTTGCTAACTTCGTTTGTGAAATTTAAAATTTATATTATTAATATATTTTATGATTTTTTCTTGAAAAATATAAATTTATTTTTTTCAATTAAGAATACTCTAACATATTTTTGTGTTTTGATAGTAAAAAATATTGATTAATTGTGTGCATTTTGTTGAATGATCAAAGCTTTGTTAGTTCTCCAAACAATATTAAAAGTGATTTTTTTAATTTGGTATACTCTTATTAATAATACACTACATGCCAATCATGCATATTTAGCTAATTCTTCAATTCATAAAGAAAAGAAGACTTATAATTGAACTCATTAATTGCATGATAAAAAATTTGAAGTATGAAAATACGAAATAAAATATATTTACTTATATAGTCTTATAATTAAGATAAAAAATTAACTCAATTGATA